CGCCCTTGCCATACCTACTCCTCGCACTTACGCTGAGGCAGTGTCAGGGCCTTGGGCCTCTCAGTGGAGAGCTGCCATGGACTCAGAGATGGCCTCCTACAGATCCACAGGCACCTACGTCGACGAGGTTCCCCCCCCTGGGGCGAACGTAGTCGATGTCATGTGGATCTTCAGGGTGAAGCGGCCACCGGGATCTCCTCCGGTCTTCAAGGCGCGCTATGTGGCTAGAGGTTTCAGTCAGCGCGAGGGAGTTGACTTCTTTCAGACCTTCGCGCCTACCCCGAAGATGACTACTCTTCGGGTGTTACTGCACGTAGCAGCACAGAGAGACTACGAGCTACAATCTCTCGACTTCTCCACTGCCTTCCATCAGGGTAGCCTACACGAGGAGGTCTGGTTGCGTCGTCCCTCTGCCTTCACTAGCACTTTCCCTCCTGGGACCCAGTGGAGGCTGAGGCGATCGGTCTACGGTCTCCGTCAGGCTCCTCGTGAGTGGCACGACACCCTTCGTTCTACCCTGTCTGACCTCGGTTTCCAGCCATCTTCTGCCGACCCGTCGCTGTTTGTTCGGCATGGCTCCACACCGTTCTTTGTACAGGTCTACGTCGACGACCTGGTTTTCGCCACTGCTGACAGGGTTGCTTTGGCTGACGTGAAGCGCGAACTGCAGAAGAGACACACGTGCACTGACCTTGGTGAGCTGCGCCACTACCTTGGCCTGCAGATCACCAGGGACAGAGCCGCTCGCACCATTACACTCTCACAGTCACACATGGTGCAGCAGGTCCTTCAGCGGTTCGAGCTTCAGCACTCCACAGTACAGCGCACACCTCTTGCTGTTGACCACAGACTCACTGGACCCTTTCCTGACGAGTCGTTTGAGCCTAGTGGTCCCTACGCAGACCTTGTGGGCTGCCTCATGTACCTGATGACTTGTACTCGCCCGGACCTCGCCTTCCCTCTCAGCATCCTTGCTCGCTTTGTTGCGCCAGGGAGACACCGTCCAGTTCACTGGACAGCTGCTGTGAGGGTGGCGAAGTACCTAGCGACGACATCAGGCGTGGGGCTGGTTCTTGGAGGGAGACAGTCTGTCGTGCTTACTGGACACTGTGACTCTTCTTACGCTGACGACAACGAGACTCACAGGTCTACTCAGGGGTACTTCTTCAGCCTGGGCTCTGGAGCTGTTTCGTGGAGGTCCACACGTTCCTCCTTGGTCTCGACCTCTACCGCTGAGGCTGAGATCTACGCTGGAGCCATGGCTGCACAGGAGCTGCGTTGGTTGACCTTCTTGCTCACCGACCTTGATGAGCGGCCGAGCTCTGCACCGACCTTGTTCACTGACAACAAGGCGTCGATTCTCCTCTGTCGAGAGCTGCGACTGGAGAGCAGAGTGAAGCACATCAACGTCAGGTACTTTCTTATGCAAGAGTTGCAGAGGCGTGGGCAGGCTCGCTTCGACTTTGTGGAGTCCGAGGCCAACACTGCAGAAATCTTCACCAAGGCCCTTCCGCCTTGTGACCACCAGAGGTGTTGTGTGCAGTTAGGTCTCGTTGACACAGGTTCTCGCCTTGCGTAGTCGTGAGTTCTCTGCTTTGCTTTGTTTGTACGCTTTATATTACCTCTGTGAACTCTTGAACTGGCCTTGTGGCTCTTTTGCTTGTGCTCAGAGTGTGTGGTGACATTGTGATCCACCCTGAGCTTTGTTGCTTTGTGACTGGTCTTGTGACCGTACGTTGTAGGTTTGCTTGACACCCCTCACTTAGGCTATGGGGGTGTGTCAGATGTTATAGTCTTAGTGATGTGTGTCATATGGGGTACAACAGTTAGGGTTAGGTTTATGTACCCCAACCAACCTTAGTCAACACCATCATTCCGTTCTTGACACTACCGTGATCTCCCGGTTACAAGACCTCCCCGCATAAAAGCCCCGTGGGTCTTCTATCCGAACCAGGGGTCTTTTATTAGGTCAGTCCTGGAGAGGACCCGTCTTTTGACCCAAATCATTATAAGACCCCCCCTCAGGCTATAATGAGTGGTGTTAGTTCATGAGCTGGTTAGCGAGTCACACAAAAAACCACCAAATTCACTTTGTCAGGCGAATTTGTGGTCAAGGGAGTCAAGATGCCACATCAATCACGCGTTTTTGCCGCCCTTCAGGCAAGAAATGCTGACGTGCCTGTCATTATTCGGCATTTCTGAACGTGCGGAAAGGAATCAGGGAGACTCGAGTGCGAGAATGAGAATGAATTTCCGCGCTGTGAAGGAATCCAAAATTCAGTACAGGAATTTTCGAATTTCTACAACACTGCACTACACAATCCATTTTTTAGTAATTAATAGATGTCCAGGGGTCTTATGCACTATATGCCATTACATAAGACCCCACAACCCATTTCAAGCACATTTAGGATAAGACCCCCGGGGCTTTAACCGGGATGTAAGAAATTGTATTTCTATATATAACTGCATATTAGACTAGCTAGTGTATGTCAAAATCCCAACCACTAGACCACTGGGATAAAAGGGCTTGTTAAGTAGCGGGTCAGTGCACCCACAACCCCCCAGGCCAGCGAGCCTGTAACCCTTTCCTTAGGATCAATCGGGGATCACCAGTGGACCTCTGACACCCCCCCGCACTAGGATGCCCGAAGTGCACACACTGGGATTCGAACCCGAGACCTTCGCTCTGATACCATGTCAGAATCCCAACCACTAGTCCACTGGGATAAAAGGACTTGTTAAGTAGCGGGTCAGTGCGCCCATAACCCCCCAGGCCAGCGAGCCTGTAACCCTTCCCTATGATCAATCGGGGATCACCAGTGGACCTCTGACAGTGTAGTATCTCTTCTATTGTTGGTGGTATACCCCCCTTGGCCACCTTCCCTTGCCCTATATCTTGTATCTCTCTCTATAGTCAAAGCCCTTCTTTGTTGGCCAAACCTCATCTCTCTTCTTAAAACCTAAGTTTCCTCTAAGCTCCTATCTTAACATGGTTTCAGAGCTACTACGGTCTTAGGACCTACTATTTCTCTTAAAGCCCGAGTCTAGAATGGCAACTTTTCAAGTTCAAGATTCTTGAACTTGAATTCGCCTCCCCTCCCGTCGCCTTTTAGGTGGCTCTCCCTTCCCGCGCCCGTCGCCCACGCTTACTCTGAGTGTCTCCCACGCTCTCCCATCATGTCGCTGGCCTTCACATGACCATCGCTTGCCCATTCTGTCGCTTTCCCAACACCTTTCAAGTTCAGTATTCTTGAAGCCTTACCATTCTAGACTCGGGCTTTAAGAATCATGGGCCCGCCTATGCTACAGCGCGAAATGCGCTATTTTTTTCCCGTCCGTCCGTCCGCGCGTGCTCTGCTCTGTCGCCGCGTCGCCCCTTATTCCCGTCGCCGCGGCGCCCCGCGTTCCCGTCGCCGCGGCGCCCGATTCCCGTCGCCGAGGCGCCCCTTATTCCCGTCGCCGCGGCGCCCCGCGTTCCGCCTCAGCGGCGCCCCGATTCCCGTCGCCGCGCGCCCTTGTTCCTGTCGCCGCGGACGCCATCGCCAGGCGCAAGCACGAGCACCAGCGCCCGACGCGGCCGCCAACGCCAGGCGCCAGTGCGGACGCCAGCGCCTGTCGTCAGCGGGGACGCCAGCGCCAGGCGCCTTCACGAGCGCCAGCAGCAGCGACCAGCGCCAGCGCGAGCGCCAGCGCCAGCGCGAGCGCCAGCGCCAGGGCCAGCCGCGGACGCCAGCGCCAGACGCCAGCACGAGCGCCAGCGCCAGGGCCAGCCGCGAGCGCCAGCGCCAGGGCCAGCCGCGAGCGCGAGCGCCTGCGCCAGCGCGGACGCCTGTGCCAGCAGCTCTGTCCACCACCCCACCCTTCTCTTCCACGGCTTCCGCCGTGGGGGGGGGGGGGGGAGATGTGGGGGTGGCGGGTGTGAACCGCCAGCAACCCGTCCCTCCCTTCCCTCTTACTCTCTTCGTGCAACACTAGTTGCTGTGGGGGGGGGGGGAGGAGAGAGGTTAAGGGGGGATGAGAGAGGTTAAGGGGGGACGAGAGAGAGAGAGAGAGAGAGAGAGAGAGAGAGAGAGAGAGAGAGAGAGAGAGAGAGAGAGAGAGAGAGAGAGAGAGAGAGAAAGGGTTTCTTCTATTATGTTTTCTCCTTTCGTAATGTTTTCTCGTCGTTTCGCGGTTCGTTACTATCTCCGTCGTTTCTGGGCGTGGTCACCCAGAGTCGCGCACACCGGCACCTGTTGCAGGGGTTCAACCGCAACCGGGCACCTGCTGTGGGGGTTCAACCACGGTGGTTCAAGCTGCGGCATGGTGATCAAGGGTAGAGCGCCCCTCACTAGCTATGCTTGTATGCAGTTAGGGAGGATGTCAGAAATTGTATTTCTATATATAACTGCATATTAGACTAGCTAGTGTAGTATCTCTTCTATTGTTGGTGGTATACCCCCCTTGGCCACCTTCCCTTGCCCTATATCTTGTATCTCTCTCTATAAGTCAAAGCCCTTCTTTGTTGGCCAAACCTCATCTCACCTAAGTTTCCTCTAAGCTCCTATCTTGACACGGGAGATCACGGTACTTCAAATATATTCGTGCTAGTACATTATATCATTTTTGTAAATACCATGAGAGAACTGCATCACACATCCTAACCCCATTCACTCTAACTTGATTCCAATATGGAAGCGCAATCACAGAGTGTGCAATTCCCACCATTATAAACACACCATTACCCTTCCCCCTCTGCTGCACGCTTCGAACAAACTTCCCCACATTCTGCCCTGCCCACAGCGCTGCCAGTTGCTCACTACTAGTACACTCCTTACTCGCTTGTTTCGCCGATAAAACCAGCGCAAGCTGGCGTGGCGAGCTGGCGGTCAGCGATTGGACGGTGAGATTCGGGAGGAGACGGATCAGTTCGGCAGCACAGCGAATCGAGTAGGTTTGGTTGTATGGGTTAAGCTGGTTACCGAGCATGAGGGCTCGAAAGTCGAAGAGAGAGTTGACTACAAAGAGGGGGAGGGAGCGAGGGAGGTAGGGCAGGGCGTATTGGGGGAAGAAGCAGTGCCATCGCTCACTTGAAGAGTGGGCTGCACGGGGGAGGGATGGAGGGGGTGAGACAAGGGCTGGTTGGTTGGCTGCATGGCTAAAAAAAGGAAGCGGAGGGCGTATTGGGGGAAGAAGCAGTGCCATCGCTCACTTGAAGAGTGGGCTGCGAGGGGGGGTGTGAGAGAAGGGGCGAGGGGGAGGGCTGGATGGTTGGCTGCATGGTTCAAGAAGGGAAGGGGGGGGCATATTGCGGGAAGAAGCAGTGCCAACGCTCACTTGAAGAGTGGGCTGCGAGGGGGGGGGGGGATGGGGGGGTGAGACAAGGGCTGGTTGGTTGGCTGCATGGCTCGAGAGACAAGGTCAGAGATGCCATTGCAATCCGAGGGTTTTTGGACGACTCAATTCAACGGACTTACCTTGCGCGCACTTGGTGCTGCCAGTGAACTTGTGCAGAGCAGAGCAACAACCCCCAAGGCCACACACTAAGAGGATTTGAGACAACTAGTGCAGAGAAACTCAGCGCTTACCTTGGGCGCATTTGTTGCTGCCAGTGAACTGTTGCAGAGCAACAATGTCAGCGGCAAGTCTCTGGAAGGATTTGAGACAACTCATACATACCTGTGCAGAAAACCCTTGAATGAATCAACAATCACCTTGGGCGCATTTGGTGCTGCCAGTAAACTTATGCAGAGCAGCAATGGGGAGAGTATGTGGGATATGGCCATTCCTAGAGGGCTTTCAGTTGCCTCAACACTTACCTTGGGCGCATTTGGTGCTTCCTGTGAACTTGTGCAGAGCAACAATGTCAGCTGCAAGTCTCTGAAAGAAAGGCTGCCCATAGCGATCGTTGGAATCTGTCCAGGGGGTGACGAAGGGTGGGGAGCAGGGGTGACGTGACAAAGGTTGTCCCAGCAAGTGATGAAACTTGTGCAGAGCAACGACGTCAGAAGCAAGTCTCTGAAAGAAAGGCTGCCCATAGCGATCTTGAGAGTCTGCATGGGATGGGCAAGTGGGGCGTGGAGCTGTGGGGAGGGGTGGGGAGGGGTGGAGAGGGGTGGAGAGGAGCAGTGTTGAAAGTTATGCAGAGCGACAATGTCAGAGGCCATTCTCTGAAAGAAAAGGCTGCCCCATGCGATCGTTGGTATCTGCATGGATGGGCAAGTGGGGCGGGGAGCGGTAGGGAGCGGTGGGGAGGGGCAGAGAGGGGCAGTGATCCATCTGGTGCAGAGCAACAATGTCAAAGGACTTTCTCTGAAAGGAAGGCTGCCCAAAGCGATCGTTCAAATCTGCAGCAAAATTGAGAGATTTATAAGACGGATGAGTGACGGGGAGGGGCGCGGACGAGTGACGAGGAACAACGTCACCCCGATTTCCATCTTCCTCCTTCATGCTGCAGGGTGTTTTTGAGAATTCTCAAAAACTTCCTCCTTCACCTGTGACGACTTTTGAGGCGCCTCAAAAGGCGCGGACGAGTGACGAGGAACAACGTCACCCCGATTTCCATCTTCCTCCTTCACCTGTGAACGGGCCAGAGTCCATACAGCATTTGATGGTCTCTCTCTGCAAAGGGTTGTTGATGGATCATGGCACAAGGGTTGCTGATTATACACCACTGTATACCCCTTACAAGTTGCCGCCCCCTCCCCTCCCCTCCCCTCCCCTCCCCTCCCCTCCCCTCACCTCCCCTCCCCTCCCCTCCCCTCACCTGTGAACGAGCTAGAGTCCATACGGCATTTGATCATCGTACCACTCTGGCCACAAGGGTGGTTATGCACCGCTTCATACCCCCTACCACCGCACCCCAGCTCACCTGTGAAGGAGCCAGAGTCCATGAGGCATTTGATCTTCTGTGCATTCGGAGCACAAGGGCAGTTGTGAAAGAGCCACAGTCCATGAGGCACTTGATACCACTTATCACCACACCACACCACTCCTCACCTGTGAACGAGCCAGAGTCCATGAGGCATTTAATTGTCCTTGCATTCGGTGCATACTCCTGCATGTGCTCACACAGAGACAGCACCGTCTGCGCTCCTGCTGATTGGCCTGGGACGGAGATGGAAGCAGGGGGAGCAGGAAAATCAGGTATTAAGTTGACTTAAGTTGACTCGATTTGACTTGACCTGACTGCATACTCCCTCATGTGTTCGCACAGAGGCAGCACCGTCTGGGCTCCTGCTGATTGCCCTGGCTAAGGGGGGAGGGGGAGTGGAGGGGGGGTGGGGGAACCAGATTTTGAATCTTGAGAATACTCGATTTGATTTGGGTTGACTTGAGTTGACTTGATTGCCTTTGCAGAGGGTTAACAACTGGCGCCTCATTCGCTACACATGACTCATTCGCAGAGGGTTAACAACTGGCGCCTCAAGACTCATACGCAGTGGCCAGAAATGCAAGGCAAGGGCTATGTTGAAATCGCTTTTGAGAATTCTCAAAAGCAATTTCAACAAGGGCAAGTAACAAGTCTTTCCACACTACCTGACAGCAGCCCCTGGCAAGCCAAGAATCTAGTCCATCCACATTACCAATGTCTCAAGTTTGAGTCGACTCAAAATGACTTTTGAGATCAATATTGTAACAAGTCTTTGCACACTTCCTCACGGCAGCCCCTGGCAAGCCAAGAATCTAGTCCATCCGCATTACCAATGTCTCAAGTTTACCTGACAGCAGCACTCTTTGATTCACGGATACACGGTCATTCTGTAACCTAAGCTATCCGCATTACCTGACAGCAGCACTCGTTCGGCAGACTGCATCCCCCGTAACTCCTTCACATCTGTCAGCACCGCTTTGATTCCACTCCACCCGTCCATGTAAATCCCGAAGCTGCCGTTCACTCTCGCCCATCCCGCCGTTCCGGAGAACCCCCCTCCATCGCAATAAATGGGCACTACGAGGTTCCAGTTGCGAAAGGCCTTGTTGATGAACGGACCCGTGCTCAATATGCCCAGGTAGGCGTATGATGCCTGTTGGTAGGAGAGGGGGGGAAACACAGCACAGGAGGGCGGGTGAGGGAAGACAGAAAACCCCCTCCGTCGCAGTAGATGGGCACTACGAGGTTCCAGTTGCGAAAGGCCCTGTTGATGAACGGACCCGTGCTTAGTATGCCTAGGTAAGCATAAGAGGCCTGGGAGTAAGGGGGGAGGGAGAGGGGAGAGGAGTGAGGAGAGAGGAGAGAGGAGGAGAGAGGAGGAGAGAGGGGAAGGAGCGACCCCTAGGCTCTCGTTCACTCTCGCCCACCCCGCCGTGCCCGAGAACCCCCCTCCATCGCAATAGATCGGCACTACGAGGTTCCAGTTGCGAAACGCCTTGTTGATGAAAGGACCCGTGCTGAGTATGCCCAGGTAGGCATAAGAGGCCTGTGGTGGATGGAATACCGGGGGGGGTTATGGGGAGGGAGGGAAGCAGTAGATGGGCGATACAAGCTCACTGCTTTCCTTTACTAGGCATGGGAAGGTGGTGCTGACTTTTGAGACGTCTCCCCAGGAAAGCAGTGCTGCAATCAGCACACGAAGAGAGGGAGGAGCACCCATTGTCTTGACGTCAGCAGTAGAGCCCCCCTCGCTATAAGCCCGCCCATAACATATCAGACTCACGTTACTATAAGGGTTGTCCTTCTGGAGCTGTCTTAGAGGAACCCAGGAACGTGGTGCTGCGATTCGCACACACGCTAGTCAGCGCGGGTCAACCGTGGTCAACGCACTCACATTGCTGTACGGGTTGTCCTTCTGCAGCTCAGGCTTAGAGGACCCCAGAAAGGTGGTGCTGCGATTCGCGCACCCCGAGAGGGTGGAACACCAGCCGCCTGGTGGCAGGTGGGGCATGCTCTGATCAACGCTGGTGAACAGCGGTCAATGCACTCACGTTACCATAAGGGTTGTTCTTCTGCAAATCAGGCTTAGAAGAACCCAGGAATGTGGTGCTGCGATTGGCACACGCAGAGAGGGTGGAGCACCCGTTGCTGTTGTATCACCAATACAACCCCTCGTCATAAGCCCATAACATAACACACTCACGTTGCTGTAAGGATTGTCTTTTTGCAGCTCGGGCTTAGAAGAACCAAGAAACGTGGTGCTGCGATTCGCGCACCCAGAGAGGGTGGAGCACCAGCCGCCGGGGGGCAGGTGGATGTGGATATGCCTTGGTCAACGCGGGTCAATGGGAGTCAACAGTGGTCAACGCACTCACATTGCTATAAGGGTTGTCCTTCTGCAGCTCGGGTTTAGAAGACCCCAGAAACGTGGTGCTGCGATTCGCGCACCCAGAGAGGGAGGAGCACCAGCCGCCGGGGGGCAGGTGGATGTGCCACGATGACGCCCCGTGGCCGAAACCAGGGCGGAAGTAATAACCGGGGGGGCTGGGGGGAACGGATGAGGGGACGGGATGCGGGAGACAAGGGGAAGAGGGGTAAAGATCACAAAATATGGCAGGTGGATGTGCCACGTCGACACACCATATCCGAAACCAGGGCGGAAATAGTACCGGGGGGGGGCTGGGGGGGGGGGGGGGGGGGGAGCGGTAGCGGGGGATAAGGGGAAGGTTGAAGGGGGAGGAAGTGAGGGGGAGACGGGCATTGGTAGCTTCGAGGCGCACCAGCCGCCGGGCGGAAGGTGGATGTGCCACGACGACGCACCGTAGCCGAAACCCGGGCGGAAGTAGTACCCGGGGGTGCTGGGGGGAACGGTGGGGAGGGATGGTGGTGAGGGATGGGGGATACAAGGGGGGAGAGGAGGTGAATATCGCAGAAGGCGAGAGGAAAGGGCAGGTGGATGTGCCACGTCGACACATCATAGGCGAAACCCGGGCGGAAGTAGTACCGGGGGGACTGGGGGATGGGGGAGAGCGGTAATGCGGCGGATAGGGGGAACGGGGGAGGGGGAAGGGGAAGGAAGTGAGCGGGCGACAGGGACAGGAGGCAAGGGAGGAGCACCAACCTCCGGGCGGCAGGTGGATGTGCCACAACGACGCACCATTGCCGAAACAGGGCGGGAATCATATCCGGGCCGGGGTCGGGGGAAAAAAGAAGGGATAACGAGGCGGGAGGGGAAGGAGTAACGAGGAGCGCGGAAGGGGGAGGATGGGAGGGGTCGAGGAGGAGACGGGGTGAGGAGGGGGACTTGCGAGGCCGTTAAGGGGCGTGTTAGAAGCTGGCTACCCGCTAACACGGGTAGCACTTTTAGAAGGTTCCAAAAGATACTTTTGTGTGTGATGTGATATTGACTCTATGCGAATAGAGGGTTACATCCGTTGAGGCACTTCAAGTTGAGGTGCTTCTAAGGCACTCCAAAGTTGGCGTTGTATCGGTTGTTGGGAAGCACCGTTACAAGCACGCTCGGTACCGTTACTGCGAATTTCCTCGCCGCGTTTTGAGGCTCCTCAGAGCTCGTACCTTCCGTCGAGGCACTTGGCGTTGTATCGGTTGTTGAAAAGAACCGTTACAAGCACGATCGGTACCGTTACTGCGACTTTCCTCTGAGTCAGACTCGTACCTTCCGTCGAGGCACTTGGCGTTGTATCGGTTGTTGGGAAGCAACGTTGGGAACACGATTGGTACCGTTACCGCAGCTTTTCTCGCGGCTCGCGTCGACTCGATCCCCGCTGTAAGCCGACCCGTTAACGCGAGCAGCAAAACGACTGCCAGTACGGAAAACCTACGCTGTAATAAACGGACAACGGCCACGTCTGTCCCCGTTACAGCCCTCCTCGTTTTGATTCTTCTAAACGACTGTGGCCTCGCTGATCGTCGTCCTTCTTCTACTTTATTGTCCGCGTTCAATGGTGATGAGGAACTCGAGGCAGAGATAGAGGAGCACTGTAACGCGTAAATAAGCCCTCTAACGCTGAAGAAATAAACCAATGAAGCCGACGCGATCGAAATTAAATAGTCGAAAATCGGAAATGCTCGTATCTGTAACGGGTGTTGGGTGCAACGTTTGGCCGCCATTTGCGGCAAACTAGTTAATTAAAACCGAAATCATACGCGATCTCGAGCTCTGCAAGGGCCGGCGGTTGATGGAGGAACAGCGGATAGCACGCGCTGAACTAAGGAGGCTGAACGAGTCCGGGAAACAACAAAGAGGTGCTTTGATTAGGTGAGATGTTTTCCCAAGGAAAATAGCGCCGTACAGGATCAGCATCGTGTTGGGTGTAGCAGCATGAACATGACAGTAGGATTCGTGTTCCGGTTCTTTCCTGGTTCTGCTCGGTCAGTTACATTATGATCGCGGTTTCGTACGAGACAAAAGCTTTCCCTGCGGTTCCGCATTTGTGCTCAGCATGTCTCGTTGTCGGTGGTGGGGATCCGGTTGCGCGGCGCGGGTGAGAAAAGGTGGTTGGTGTGATCGATTCGCGCCTATAACGGGGTGTCGCCTCGCCACACCAACGAGATAACGGGGTGTATATACCCTTCCACGAGATGACCATACAATTCTGTCCAAATGTCAGGGAGAGGCGAACGGGGAACCCAAGACCAAAGTCACTAAATGTTTTCGCTCCTCTGAGTTCGAGAATTTAGACACTGGCAGCCAACGAAATGTTTTCGCCGACACAATCTTCCGACAGGAGGAGCAAAATATACCAGACCTGCCTATAAGGTTTTCTCGAGGTTGCCCGCACAAGGTTTACGTAAACGAAAGTGATCAAACAGAAAATTCGCCCTGCCAACCGACAGGAGTTGTAACGAGTACAGATCGTTGTCCCACTAGAGGGAGGCCCACACGGAATCTGGTGGAACAGCACACAAACATTGAACGTGCCAAATGAATAAGGCTATTTTGAATTGCTATTTTGACTCACGTCATCATCAGGCAACCTTCCATGCATCAAAGGACTGGTAACGGGATATGCAGAGGCGGCCTCTCAATAAAACATTGCATTTGTACCAGCTCTGTACAATTTCGCAATATAGTTGTACCTGCTATGTACAGTACCACCAAGAAACATGATGGCCATCATTCACTCACTATTTCCCCACAATCCTCACTATTGTCATCCTCGCTATCGTCCCAGTCAACTTCTATGTCCACGGTAGCTGCGTGCAGCTTATCCAGGCCTGTTATCTTCTCTAAATACGCGGGATCGTTAAACGCGTCCATAAGGAATGCAAACCCACGCTCCCTGTACGCTGAAACCACCTGCGGTAGGGAAAATCGGGTGGTTGAGAGCAGGAACAGAGGTGGCAACAGGGAGGGGATAAGAGGAAGAACAGGGAATGCATGCGACAATATCAGGTAATGCGGCAATACCAGAGGATGTGAGAATGTTGGGCGGAAAAGGAACAGGCAGTGAACTAACTGTGGGAGAGCAGGCGGTGCACTGATGGAAGGCGAAGCCAGTGATGGGCAGCTGGGAGACTTTTGAGGCGCCTCAAAAGTGATGGGCAGCTGGGAGAAGGAGGAGAGGAAGCCGCGTAGCTGGTCTATCATTGAGGATCCTCAAGAAAAGTAAGAGATAACTGAGGCAGTAAACTCACTGTAACGGAGCAGGCAGTGATGGGGATCTGGGAGAAGGAGGAGAGGAAGCCGCGCCGCCTCAAGAAAAGTATAAGATAACTGAGGCAGTAAACTCACTGTAGGGGAGCATGCAGTGATGGGGAGCTGGGTGAAGGAGGGGAGGAAGCCGCGCAGCTGGTGGGGCACGGAAGAGATGATTGAAGCAGTACACTTACTGTGGGGGAGCAGGCGGTGCACTGGTGGAAGGCGAATCCAGTGATGGGCAGCTGGGAGAAGGAGGAGAGGAATCCGCGTAGCTGGTGAGGCAGTGGGCCCAGAGGCGAGCAGAGATGGGCAGAGGTAGAGGAGGCAGAGGAGGAGGAAGAAGGAAAGCCATCAGCAGCGGTGTCTTCTGCTGGTGCTGCAATACTGAATCGGGAGGGGGATGGGACGGGACGGGAGTGGGAATGAGTCAGAAGCTGGGAGGAGAGGAAGCTGCCACTCAGATGGGCAGGTGGGAGAGGAAATAGAGGAATTGGGAGCAAGGTGACTTTTGAGTCGACTCAAAAGTCAAGAGTGGGAATGAGTCAGAAGCTGGGAGGAGAGGAAGTTGCCACTCAGATGGGCAGGTGGGAGAGGAAAGAGAGGAATTGGGAGCAGAGGCAACGAGACCAGAGGCGAGCAGGGATGGGCGGAGACAGAGGGATGGGACAAGTCCAAGACCCTGCTGCTTGCAAACCCAAGACCCCCTAACACAGTGGACAGCTCAACTCGGGATGGTGCAGCAGCCCCACTAGCAGCTCCACTGCGAGAGCTCCTGCTATGGCTGCCAGGCCACTCACCTGCTCCTTCGACCCCACCCCCATTCACACTGGAGCCTTACAGCCAACCCTTACCCCAGGGGATGGTGCAGCAGCCCCAATAGCAGCTCCACTGCGAGAGCTCCTGCTATGGCTGCCAGGCCACTCATGTGCTCCTTCAACCCCACCCCCATTCACACTGGAGCCTTACAGCCAACCCTTACCCCAAGGGATGGTGCAGCAGCCCCACTAGCAGCTCCACCGCCAGAGCCCCCGCTATGGTTGCCAGGCCACTCACGTGCTCCTTCAACCCAACCCCCATTCACACTTACAGCCAGCCCTTACCCCATGGGATGGTGCAGCAGCCCCACCAATAGCTCCACTGCCAGAGCCCCTGCTATGGCCGCCAGGCCAGGGCGCGTGACTGTGCACTGCTGGTCTAGCGTGCGATGGGCCGTGGACTGGTGGAGAGGAAACGTGGGAATGGTATTGATAGAGGAGAAAGAACGGAATGAGAGGGGCGAGGAACAGGCAAAATCAGGGGAAACGCACACAGCAGGACAGCCAGAGCCCGCTATGGCTGCCAGGCCAGGGCGGGTGGCTGTGCACTGCTGGTCTAGCGTGCAGTGAGCCGTGGACTGGTGGGGGTGTATAGGAAGGGCAGGGGACGAAATCATGGAGTGCGACGGACGAGGAGTGAGTTCGAAGGCAGCAACACACACAGCCAGACGGCAAGAGCGCCTTCTGTGACTGCCAGGTGACGATCCACTGCTGGTCTAGCATTCATTGTGGGGAGCAACGGCATCGTTACACAAGTAGCAGCCGGGGCACTTTGATGGTCGTGTGTGTGTGTGTGGTGTGGTGTGGTGTGGTGTGGTGTGGTGTGGTGTGGTGTGGTGTGGTGTGGTGTTGTGTGGTGTGGTGTGGTGTGGTGTGGTGTGGTGTGGTGCGGTGGAGTGTGGTGTGGTGTGGTGTGGTGTGGTGTGGTGTGGTGTGGTGTGCCATAAAGGCAGGGTGGTCGTGGGAAGCTGGTGGCACTGAGGGGGAAGCAGCGCAAAGGACTAAAGGGGAGCTCACATTGAGGGGAGCAACGACATCGTTGCAGAAGTAGCAGCCGAGGCGCTTGGATGGTCGTGTGTGGTGGAGTGTGCTGTGGTGTGGTGCAAAGGATACGAGGGTAGTGTAGCTCACATTGAGGGGAGCAACGACATCATTGCAGAAGTAGCAGCCGAGGCGCTTGGATGGCGCTGACTCAGACGCTGATGGAGCTGACTCAGACGCTGATGGTGCTGACTCAGACGCTGCTGGTGCTGACTCAGACACTGCTGGTGCTGATGTGGCATGCGGAGGCAGCGGCGGTGCACCGTGGCGCATGACAAGGAAGGAGTCGAAGCCGAGAGCCGCATTGATGGCCACCTGTGAGTGAGGGTGTGGCATGGTGTGGCGTGGCACAGTAAGTAATGGCGGTGTGGCATGTAGGGGCAGCGGCGGTGCCCCATGCCTCATGACAAGGAAGGAGTCGAAGCCGAGAGCCGCGTTGATGGCCACCTGTGAGGGGGTGCGGTGTGCATTTTGGTGTGGCAATTGAGGGATGGTGTGATGGGTTGTGGCATGAAGGGAGTGGTGGTGCCCCGTGGCGCATGACAAGAAAGGAGTCGAAGCCGAGGGCTGCATTGATGGCCACCTGTGAGGGGGTGTGGCAGGGGAAGGTGGTATGGTGTGATTGGATGTGGCATGAAGGGAGTGAAGGTGCCCCCGTGTGGCGCATGACAAGGGTTGTTGTGGTGTGGGAGAGATAGGGAGGGATGGCATGGGAGGGATAGCACAATAATCAGGATGGCACCAGCAGAAGAAACTGTGGGGTGGGGGGCATGGGAAGGATGGAATGGGCGGGAAGCCAACACCTCTCTCCCTCAACCCTCCACTCACCTACTCCTCACACTAAACCCGAAATCCCGATACCCATATTCCAGACCAAAGCCCTCCTCTCCGCTTCACTTCACCCTCACTTTCCCCTCAGCGGCGCACAGCAGCGTGGGCAGCCAGCGGCTCTCTCTCAAACCCCACTCACCTCAAAGCCTAAACCCTCAAACTTACGTTAAACTCTAGACCTGAAATCCTGAACCATAAACCCTCACCTTCCCCTCGGCTGCACACAGCAGGGTGGGCAGCCAGCGGCTCTCCCGCGTGTCGGTGAGGAGGAAGACAGCGTCTGATTGGCGGATGAGTGCCAGCAGGGCTGCCACGTCAGCCTGCACACGTGGCGCTTCTGAGGGCGACACGGGGTGACCTGGCATGGGAATGGCGAGGCGATGGCCAGACGTGCGCTGGAAGCAGGGTGGGGGGAGGGGAGGGGATGGGAAGAGAGAGGGGTGGATATGGGGTATTGACGGGTGGTGTACTAAACATACCCCTCAGAGGGCGACACGGGGTGACGGAAATGGCAAGGCGATGTCCGGACGTGTGCTGGAAGAAAGGGAGAAGGTAGGGGAGGGGAGGGGATGGGAAGGGAGGGGGCTGGAAATGGGGTATTGACGGGAGGTGTACTCAACGTCTCCCCTCAGAGGGCGACACGGGGTGACCTGGCATGGGAATGGCGAGGCGATGGCCGGCCGTGCGCTGGAAGAAAGGGTGGGGGGAGGGGACGGGATGGGAGAAGAGAGGGGGGTGGAAATGGGGCATTGACGGGAGGTGTACTCAACATTCCCCCACGGAGGGCGACACAGGAGTATTGGAGGGGAGTTCTGAGTGCCTTGGAGTCTCCGAAGGTGCCGACACGGGGTGACCTGGCATGGGGATGGCAAGGCGATGGCCGGAAGTACGCTGGAAGAAAGGGTGGGGGGAGGGGAATGGGAGGACGAGGTGATTCAGAGATCAAGGGTTAAGGTTCAGGGTTCAGGTTAAGGGTTTAGGGTTTAGGGCTGGCTATCGGAGGGGGATGGGATGTTAAAGGGGGGATGATTTGTGGACTGTTGGACAGGAAGGATTCAAGGAAGATGTGAATGAGCGTGGACGGGGGGAGCGGGAAAGCATCGGGAAAGCATCGGGAAAGCATCTGCAAGTTGGTTACGGAGAATTTGCGTAAACCAAGTTGTGAGTGTGGAGTGGAGGGGGGATTGTGGGAAGCATCTGCACAAGTCAAACTCAAGTGAAGTTCTTGCGCTTGACTTGAACTCAACCATTTGAATCTCACACTTACAGCAGAGGGAAGAATCTCTTGAAGTGCTTCTGCTGCTGCCTGCGCCTTGGGAGCGCCGCCATTCAGGCAGTGCTTGATAGAGAAGAGGCACTGCCGCACGGGGTTAGAATACGAAACCGCCCCGTAGTCCACGAGGGTAATGTCACGAATGCCCCATGCCTGGCGGGTTTGAATTAAGGGGGAGTGGTGGGATGGCAACAGGCATTTGAAAGGACTCAAAGTCCCCAAATGCGGCAGCAGTGTGCAATTTGCGAATTAAAGAGACCTCTAGCGCTTCGAAGCACATGCTTCATTCGTTCTCCTGCGCTTATTCCGATCAAGACAGCCACCTGGCACCTGAGAGAAAGCCAGCCCCCAGCCCCCAGCACCGAGCATTCGATTGCATTTAGCTTCTCCAGCTGCAGCTGTGGCACCCGCCACCTCATCAGCTTCAACTGAAGAGAGGCTGTTGGAAGGAGGCTTTTCCTTACCAGGAGAGAGCGAGCCAATTGGCAACCAAGGGTGCCAGCCCCTAGAAGCAAACATTTTGTTGCATTCAATCGCTCCAGCTGCAGCTGTGGCAGCACGCGCCACCTCATCAGCTTCAGGTTGAGCGACGCCGCCTCGTCTGCCAGCCTGGCAGGGTCCATCAGCGGCGCCAGGTCAGCACACCGCGCCCCGGTTCGCCCCTTGGCGTTCAGCTCCCAGCCAGTGGCGGACGGACACGTGGAATGTGCTGTGAGTGGATTCAGCCATTCAGCTGCAGGGGCAAACAGAGAGGGTGACACCAGAGGAAAGAAGGCAGTGCAGAGGAAGGAGAAAGCATCGATTCCCCATATTAGGATTCTTAGCTCCCATTCAGAAACCAATATGCAGCAAAACCGAGAGAAAATAAAAAAGTTGCTTCATTCGTTTTCCAGACATCAGACTTGCAGCTCTTCTATGAGTGAAGAACAAAATAAAACACAAAAACAAACACACACACACACGCTCCCAAGCAACTTTTTTTTTTTTTTTTTCAAAAAGCCTTTAGGAAGTGGTATTTACACGAGCCTGGGGGAGGTGGTATCTACACGGGTCTGGGGGAGGTGGTATCTGGGCGAGCCTGGGGAAGGTGGGCATTTTCCTGAATGTTTGTGGGAGGTGGTATCTGTCTGGACTGGACGTGCCTGGGAGGGGGTGGCATCTGGACGAGCCTGAGGGAGGTGGCATCTGGACGAGCCAGCGGGAGGTGGTATCTGAGGGGGAGGTGGCATCACTTGCCTGGGGGGGGGTGGAATCTGGACGTGCCTGGGGGAGGTGATATCTGAACGTGCAGCAGCAGCGAGTGGTGGAGGCTGATGCGGCCGTGGCGCTGCCGCAGGCAGAGCACATGGAGGGACGTGGCCTGGGAGGAATGTAGGGACCGGCGGGGGGTAAGGGATGGAGGGGGGTACAGTTGTGACTGGTGAGACGTGAGTGGTGTGGAGGCTGATGCGGCCGTGGCGCTGCCGCAGGCAGAGCACATGGAGGGAGGTGGCCTGGGAAGGAGGGATAGAGAGGGGGGTACAGAAGGGAGCGTGTGCGGGTGTGAGCGGTGCATGGTGAGGTGAGATGAAGCGAGTGGTGGAGGCTGATGCGGCCGTGGCGCTGCCGCAGGCAAAGCACATGGAGGGACGTGGCCTGGGCGGGAGGGGTAGACGGGCGGGTAAGGCACGGAAAGAGATGCAGTTGTAACTGGTCACTGGAGCATGGTCAGAAGCGTGCAGGCTGATGCGGCCGTGGCGCTGCCGCAGGCACAGAACATGGAGGGAGGTGGCCTGGGAAGGAGGGACAGAGAGGGGGGTACAGAAGGAAGGGTGTGCGGGTGTGAGTGGTGCATGGTGAGATGAAGCCAGTGGTGGTGCGTGGTGCAGGCTGATGCGACCGTGGCGCTGCCTCAAGCAGAGACCATATAGGGAGGTGGCCTGGGAGGGAGGGCGGAATGGGGGGTACAGTAGGGAGGGTGTGCGTGCGGGTGTGAGTGGTGCAGGCTGATGATCCGACCATGCCGCTGCCTCAGGCATATGAGGAGGAGCAGGCTGCGACGGGGCCAGACGGGGGAGAGGGGCAGATGGCAGGGGCGGAGTAACGGCTTCTGAGGCACGTCAGAAGTGAGCAAGTGCCTGATAGGAGGAGGAGGAGGAGGAGGAGGAGGAGGAGGAGGAGGAGGAGGAGGAGGAGGAGGAGGAGGAGGAGGAGGAGGAGGAGGAGGAGGAGGAGGAGGAGGAGGAGGAGGAGGAGGAGGAGGAGGAGGAGGAGGAGGAGGAGGAGGAGGAGGAGGAGGAGGAGGAGGAGGAGGAGGAGGAGGAGGAGGAGGAGGAGGAGGAGGAGGAGGAGGAGGAGGAGGAGGAGGAGGAGGAGGAGGAGGAGGAGGAGGAGGAGGAGGAGGAGGAGGAGGAGGAGGAGGAGGAGGAGGAGGAGGAGGAGGAGGAGGAGGAGGAGGAGGAGGAGGAGGAGGAGGAGGAGGAGGAGGAGGAGGAGGAGGAGGAGGAGGAGGAGGAGGAGGAGGAGGAGGAGGAGGAGGAGGAGGAGGAGGAGGAGGAGGAGGAGGAGGAGGAGGAGGAGGAGGAGGAGGAGGAGGAGGAGGAGGAGGAGGAGGAGGAGGAGGAGGAGGAGGAGGAGGAGGAGGAGGAGGAGGAGGAGGAGGAGGAGGAGGAGGAGGAGGAGGAGGAGGAGGAGGAGGAGGAGGAGGAGGAGGAGGAGGAGGAGGAGGAGGAGGAGGAGGAGGAGGAGGAGGAGGAGGAGGAGGAGGAGGAGGAGGAGGAGGAGGAGGAGGAGGAGGAGGAGGAGGAGGAGGAGGAGGAGGAGGAGGAGGAGGAGGAGGAGGAGGAGGAGGAGGAGGAGGAGGAGGAGGAGGAGGAGGAGGAGGAGGAGGAGGAGGAGGAGGAGGAGGAGGAGGAGGAGGAGGAGGAGGAGGAGGAGGAGAGGAGGAGGAGGAGGAGGAGGAGGAGGAGGAGGAGGAGGAGGAGGAGGAGGAGGAGGAGGAGGAGGAGGAGGAGGAGGAGGAGGAGGAGGAGGAGGAGGAGGAGGAGGAGGAGGAGGAGGAGGAGGAGGAGGAGGAGGAGGAGGAGGAGGAGGAGGAGGAGGAGGAGGAGGAGGAGGAGGAGGAGGAGGAGGAGGAGGAGGAGGAGGAGGAGGAGGAGGAGGAGGAGGAGGAGGAGGAGGAGGAGGAGGAGGAGGAGGAGGAGGAGGAGGAGGAGGAGGAGGAGGAGGAGGAGGAGGAGGAGGAGGAGGAGGAGGAGGAGGAGGAGGAGGAGGAGGAGGAGGAGGAGGAGGAGGAGGAGGAGGAGGAGGAGGAGGAGGAGGAGGAGGAGGAGGAGGAGGAGGAGGAGGAGGAGGAGGAGGAGGAGGAGGAGGAGGAGGAGGAGGAGGAGGAGGAGGAGGAGGAGGAGGAGGAGGAGGAGGAGGAGGAGGAGGAGGAGGAGGAGGAGGAGGAGGAGGAGGAGGAGGAGGAGGAGGAGGAGGAGGAGGAGGAGGAGGAGGAGGAGGAGGAGGAGGAGGAGGAGGAGGAGGAGGAGGAGGAGGAGGAGGAGGAGGAGGAGGAGGAGGAGGAGGAGGAGGAGGAGGAGGAGGAGGAGGAGGAGGAGGAGGAGGAGGAGGAGGAGGAGGAGGAGGAGGAGGAGGAGGAGGAGAGGAGGAGGAGGAGGAGGAGGAGGAGGAGGAGGAGGAGGAGGAGGAGGAGGAGGAGGAGGAGGAGGAGGAGGAGGAGGAGGAGGAGGAGGAGGAGGAGGAGGAGGAGGAGGAGGAGGAGGAGGAGGAGGAGGAGGAGGAGGAGGAGGAGGAGGAGGAGGAGGAGGAGGAGGAGGAGGAGGAGGAGGAGGAGGAGGAGGAGGAGGAGGAGGAGGAGGAGGAGGAGGAGGAGGAGGAGGAGGAGGAGGAGGAGGAGGAGGAGGAGGAGGAGGAGGAGGAGGAGGAGGAGGAGGAGGAGGAGGAGGAGGAGGAGGAGGAGGAGGAGGAGAGGAGGAGGAGGAGGAGGAGGAGGAGGAGGAGGAGGAGGAGGAGGAGGAGGAGGAGGAGGAGGAGGAGGAGGAGGAGGAGGAGGAGGAGGAGGAGGAGGAGGAGGAGGAGGAGGAGGAGGAGGAGGAGGAGGAGGAGGAGGAGGAGGAGGAGGAGGAGGAGGAGGAGGAGGAGGAGGAGGAGGAGGAGGAGGAGGAGGAGGAGGAGGAGGAGGAGGAGGAGGAGGAGGAGGAGGAGGAGGAGGAGGAGGAGGAGGAGGAGGAGGAGGAGGAGGAGGAGGAGGAGGAGGAGGAGGAGGAGGAGGAGGAGGAGGAGGAGGAGGAGGAGGAGGAGGAGGAGGAGGAGGAACATACGGAATGTACCAACTGACCTGCCATCGTAGGGATGCCAGGAGAAGCAGGTTGCGCAGGGGCCAGCCGGGGGAGAGGGGCAGATGGCAGGGGTCGAAGAACGCGACGAGGAGACGCGGAGGCAATGAGGAGGAAGAAGAGGAAGAGAGGGATTCGTTTTGAGTTGCCAGCCGCCTGTACTCTGATAACGGATGTGCTGTTACTGAGGGCTGCGTTGAGCTGGTGGTGATGCTTGTGGAGTCTATATGGAGAAGGAAGAACGGGGCGCCTCTCTCCACTAGAGGTGCTGCAGACACAGATTCTCCTTCTATGGTTGCTGCTGCTGCAACGCTGTCTGCTGCTCCCATTCCTCCAATTCTGTTGTCATCGCCTTTCTCTCCTTGACTTCCCTCCTCCACTTCCCCAGACTCTGCTGCTTCGTCTTCCGTAACTGCCCTCTCTTCTCCCTTCTCCTTCTCTCCCTTGGGACCTTCAGCTTCGCCAGTCAACGCAGCTGCTTCCACTTCCCTTGCCCCTCTCCCATTACCGTCTTGTCTCCATCGTTCACACTCCTTCTCGATCGCCTCTGCCTGTATGGGGGGTAGGAGGATCAGGAGGGAGTGACAGAGGAGGGAAAAGGATGAGAGGCAAGTAGCCAACGAAGCTGCGCCCTCTTCCCTTACCCCCCTCCCACTCCCTCCCTCCCTGTCTCCATCGCTCACTCTCCTTCTCCATCGCCTCTGCCTGTATGGTAGGTAGGAGGATCAGGAGGGAGTGACAGAGGAGGGAAAAGGATGGGAGGCAAGTAGCCAACGAAGCTGCGTCCTCTTCCCTTACCCCCCTCTCCCACTCCCTCCCTGCCTTCATCGCTCACACTCCTTCTCGATCGCCTCTGCCTGTACGGTAGGAGGGAGGAACGGGAGGGAGGGGGTGAAAGCTTTTGAGGCGCCTCAGAAGTCCTTCTCGATCGCCTCTGCCTGTATGGTAGATAGGAGGAACAGGAGGGGGTGAAAGAGGAGGGAAAAGGATGAGAGGGAAGTAGCCAACAAAGCTGCGTCCTCTTCCCTTACCCCTGTTCCACTCCCTCCCTATCTCCATCGCTCACACTCCTTCTCCATCGCCTCTGCCTGTATGGTAGGTAGGTAGGTAGGTAGGAGGAACGGGAGGAAGGGGGTGAAAGAGGAGGGTGAACCGTGAAGTATCAGAGGCAACTGGTTACCACTTTCGTCCCCGATTACACTACCTCCTTCATTTAGTAAGTGTGTACTCAACTATCGCTCCACCTCTCACACACACGAAGAAGCATGAGTTGGGTGGAAAAGAAAAGTCAAAGGATAGGGAGAAGATTCGTGAGGAGCACTCAAAAGTCGAAGTGAGAAGAGAAGGCTTGAGTTGAGTTGCAGGTAGAGGGGGAGGGGGGAGGTTAGGATGGCAGGAGAGGCAAGGAGAGGGCGGGGAAGGCGAGAGGGTAGAGGGGGGGAGGTTAGGATGGCAGGCGAGGCAAGGAGAGGGCGGGGAAGGCGAGAGGCGGGAGCGCAAAGGTACAGCAAAGTGAGTTGAGGCAAGAAAGGGAGTTAGTGGATAGGAGCACTCACGAGTTGGGGTTGATTTTGAGAATTCTCAAAATCAACCTCAAACAAAATGGTCTACAGCAAAGTGAGTTGAGGCAAGAAAGGGAGTTAGTGGATAGGAGTACTCACGAGTTGGGGAGAAAAGACTTGCGTTGCAGGCAGAGGGGTAGAGGCGAGGGTTGCAGGTGAGGAGAGGGCAAGGGCGCGGACAGCGAGAGGGGGGAAAGCGACGGAGAAAATGTGAGTAGAGGCGAGAAGAGGAGTCGGAGGATAGGCGAAGCACTCACCAGTTGGGGAGAGAAGACTTGAGTTGCAGGGAGAGGGGGAGAGGCGAGGGTGGCAGGGGAAGGGAGGGCGAGGGCGGGGAAGGCAAAGGCGTAGTGAAAGCGCCAATGCTTGATGTCCGGATAGACGAGGAGAAAGAATGCGTTGAGGAGAGACGGGTGCTTTTCTGCCCTGCCGGATAGCATGTCCTGCCATAGCTGAGGGAGGTGGGGGATGGGGGCGAGGGAGGATGCATGGAGGAAGGCGCTTAGGAAGGCTGAGTGCTGCTCTGCTTGTGCATCCCACCTATGCTGCTAACCACACTGGTAACCACACTCGAAACGACTCCACTACGATCACAGTTCTCCTCAACCCATCTCATCTGCAACCCCTCTCCTGTCACACTCGTACTTACACCGGTAACCATACTGGTAACTGCAGTAACCACACATTCACATTCTCACCTGCTGTGCCACTCCCTCCATCATCTTCCGCCGGTCAAACGCTCGAAACGACTCCACTGTGTTGGCAATTCGCAGCACTCCCGCCACCACGCTCCTGCCATCATTGGTGGTGGTAACCACCGCATTTCCGTCACCGCTGGTTACCGCACTCCGCCCGTCACTGCTGCTGCTCCTGCTCTTGCTGTTGGTAGCATCTGTGCTGATATCACTGCTGCCGCCAGAATCAGTGGTGACGTCAGCAGTGGTGACGTCAGTAGCATGGGTGGTATCAGTCGGTTGGATGAGGTGGAACCGAGGAGGTGGGGGAGGGGAAGGGGGGAAGGAGGCGGAGGAGAGGGAGACGAAGGAGGGGAGCTGAGAGTGTGAGGATGGCGTGAAGAATCCTGTGAGGGAGGATTTTTTTGGGGGTGAAAAGAATACACAGGTTGACAAGCGACATAAGGGGACCGCAGAAGGATAAATGGAGGACGAAGGCTTATGCCGCTGACAGCAACACGGAACAGATGCAGTTAACCAGACTTCCCTAGTCCAGATTCAGCTATAAATTCCTCCTCCCCTTCTGTGCCGAACAGCCGATAATACCACGAATCAGATATAATAATCCAGCAAGATTTGTCGTTATGTTGCAACTCGAATCGAATCTTCAGCAAGCGACACCCAGCCTACCATGGATTGCCACGTCTTCCTCTTTCAGGCCTTGCGAGTCGACCTTCAGCGACGCGAGCTTCTCCCAGAACGACACGTCAACGGAGCTCTGCCACGTGGCGAACTGCAGGATGGATGACGTGGCCTCAACCGCCATTCTGCGTTCTTACGCAATTCCTACAATTAATGCTTCACCTATAATAAGCTGTGCGGAGCCTAGGCGTAACCTCAGAATGTACAATCTACGGAAAAGGTACAGTTTAATAACGTACACACAACATGAGTAAGATACACGGCCGCTGTATTTTACCAAACAGTCGTACGAATAAAAAATCTGTACAATAGGCTGTGCCGCAGTACTTCGAATGGGTGCGCCGCGAGCAGGAAGCCACGCACACCACGGCTAGCAGCTAAAATAAGAGTAAACTGAATCGCAGGCGAGAGAACAGCCCTACTTCTAGTTCACTAGAAGTGAGCAGCGACTGAAAATGAGTGAGCAGAATTTGGCTCACCCGCGTTTGCAGTTGCTCATTTCGGTGTTTTCTCGGGTTGCTCGGCATGAAGCTGTGGAAAGATTCGCCCAATTATCTTGTATTCCCGTTCCCAAAACACCCCGCTAACCGCTCAATACGTTTTCCGCACGTTCTTGAATTGACACCCAATCGAGCCCGTCATTATGATTGTCTTGGGATCTCCGAGGCTGTTCGCCATAGGTCACTACTGTAGCACTCCCTTTCAATATTAGCATGTGCATGTGGAAGTTCATAAGATGCAAAACCTCAGAAATACAGCAAATACTATCATGTGAAAGCATCACATTACTGAAATATGCTGCAGCTGTATTGCACAGGCTGGACGCCGTACACTATGATCAAGCTCATCAACTGTATATAACATAATATGGGTGCAAATTTCAATCGTGCGACATGAACAAGTCCCATCGCCATAGCCAGCCATCGTCATCACAGCTCATTATTATCCTGCAAGGGGGGGGGTGAGAAACAGGGGATTAGAATCTTTCTGCCATGCTTCAGAAGCATACAACAAGCATATCTAGCATATACATATATAAGGACGCATAGTGAAAGAAAACCAGACACATGCACGTTCAGTATACCGTAAAGGTGTCCCCTGAGGTTACCTGCCGTCATGTGACACAGCCGTTTGTCTGATTTGCGTTTTACAGTCCTTTCTTGAAAGCCTGTTGGGAATTGGGACGAAAGAGGGGGGAAAAAGAAAAAGAAAAAGCAAAGCGTAAGACTATTCATGAAGGCAAAACCTTCACCGGCATTGCAGGGTCATCAGCTGTAATCGCTCAGGAGAACGGCAAGAAGAAAAAAAGAAGAAAAGCAAAGAAGAACGAATAGAAGTAAACCCATCTTCTGCATACAACACCATGCCACACCTAGACGTGCCATGACATGCCTTGACACTGACATCTGTGCCATGTCACGCCCATCCCACTCACGTGCTGAGGAGAATAGGAGGGCTGGATTGCAGGTCATACACATAGACCTTGCCCACACAGTTGCCTGCGGTGGTGGTGGTGGTGGGTGGCATGGTAACAAACGGATGCATGGCATGGTGTCATCAAGAGCGAATGGGAGGGCTCGACTGCAGATCGTACACATACACCTTGCCCACACAGTTGCCTGCCATGGAGGCAAAGGGTGGCATGGCGATACATGACCATGACATGCCACAATGGGAGGGTTTGATTGCAGGTCGTGCACATACATACACCTTGCCCACACAGTTGCCTGCGGTGGTGGCCTAGGGTGGCATGGCGATACATGACCATGACATGCCACAGTAATAGATTTCATCTTACGGAGTAACAATTGTACCAGGACAGGAAAATATACACAAAGGAAGAAAGACCATACAAGGAGAAATAATTATAGTAATAGTAATAGTAATAGTAATAGTAATAGTAATAGTAATAGTACTAGTAATAGTAATAGTAATAATGAGAGGGGTGATGAACCAGAGTCGACTAAAAAAAAAAACAGAAGTGAGAGGGGTGATGCACCAGAGGGTGATTCTTCAATATGCTTCAAAAATCAAGGGTACGAGAGGAAGGGGTACCTATAGCCATGATGTTGGCCATGTAGTCAAGATCAAACTTGATGAACCAGGAATGATGATATATCTAACTAGAAGAAGAAGGGTAAGAGAGGAACGTGTAGTGTACCTATAGCCATGATGTTGGCCATGTAGTCAAGATCAAACTTGATGAACCAGGAATGATGATATATCTAACTAGAAGAAGAAGGGTAAGAGAGGAACGTGTAGTGTACCTATAGCCATGATGTTGGCCATGTAGTCAAGATCGAACTTGATGAACCAGAAGCCACAGTCCGGCACTGGGTAGCGCTGCAGAATGTCCAAAGCTCCCTGCAATGGCAGGATGACACAGATTCGTATGAGTGGATTATTAGTCGACTTAAAACTTAATGAACTAGAAGCCACAGTCCGGCAATGGGTAGCGCTGCAGAATGTCCAAGGCTCCCTGATTGGAAGATCAGCAGATTTGTATGAGTAGAAAAGGTGGGATGCTTTCAATTCAACAAGGTGCATCAACGAACTTGGTTGGTGGTATGCTGGTGTGATTGACTTGACAATGTGGTGCAATGCTCATAACAGCAAGGCAAGAAATGCCTACACGCCAGCTTTTGAGACGTCTCAAAAGTCTTTCAACAAGGTGGGTCAACGAACTTGGTTTGGTGGTATGCTGGTGTGATTGACTTGACAGTGTGGTGCAATGCTTATAACAACAGCAAGGCTTTTGAGGCGCCTCAAAAGTCGTCTCCTGTTTTGAGGTGCCTCAAAAGTGGATCAACGAACTTGGTTGGTGGTATGCTGGTGTGATTGACTTGACAGTGTGGTGCAATGCTTATAACAACAGCAAGGCTTTTGAGGCGCCTCAAAAGTCGTCTCCTGTTTTGAGGTGCCTCAAAAGTGGGTCAACGAACTTGGTTGGTGGTATGCTGGTGTGATTGACTTGACAGTGTGGTGCAATGCTTATAACAACAGCAAGGCTTTTGAGGCGCCTCAAAAGTCGTCTCCTGTTTTGAGGTGCCTCAAAAGTGGGTCAACGAACTTGGTTGGTGGTATGCTGGTTTGATTGACTTGACAGTGTGGTGCAATGCTTATAACAACAGCAAGGCAAGAAATGGTGGGATGCTTTCAACGAGGTGCATCAACGAACTTGGTTGGTGGTATGCTGGTTTGATTGACTTGACAATGTGGTGCAATGCTTATAACAACAGCAAGGCAAGAAATGCCTACTCGTCAGCAGGGCGAGAGGTGATTACATCAGCAGGGCCGCATGCTTATATCAGCAGAACGAGATGCTTACATCAGCAATGCGAGGTGCTTACATCAGCAAGATGAAATGCTTACCTCAGTAGGGTGGGCAGAGCCAGGTTCAGTGCCAGGCTTGTGGCACCAGCGCCATAGAATGACCTCGTTGTCCACACTCTGCAGTGGAAGGAAGCACAGTGAGATAGAGGGATAGAGGGATAGAGGGATAGAGGGATAGTGGGATAGAGGGATAGAGGGATAGAATCAGTCACACACTGGAGAACTCCAGTATGGCAGGCTTGTGGCACCAGCGCCGTAGGATGACCTCGTTATCCACACTCTACAGTGGAGCACAGTGGGATAGAGGGAAAGGCAAAAGAATAAGTCACACACCCTAATCTTCAGTACGGCAGGCTTGTGGCACCAGCGCCATAGAATAACCTCGTTGACTTTTGAGTCGACTCAAAAGCGCCATAGGATGACCTCGGTGACTTTTGAGTCGACTCAAAAGCGCCATAGGATGACCTCGTTGTCCACACTCTAAATAAGATGAACGCACAGAGATGCACACACACACATACATAAGCATAAGAATAAAATACGCATTGGGCAACGTCGGTGCTTGTGGCACCAGCGCCATAGGTTGGCCTCGTTGTCCACACTCTACAATCTTGACTGTCCCGTAAATCTTGTTTCCCTCCCTTCTCACCAGCGCCATAGGATGGCCTCGCTCGTTGTCCACACCACACTCTACAATCAATGCGGAATCAGAGGAACATACTATAAGAGGTGACTTTTGCGTCGACTCAAAAGTGACTTTTGAGTCGACTCAAAAGTCATAGGATGGCCTCCTCGTTGTCCACACTCTACAATCAATGCGGAATCAGAGGTACATACCATAAGAGGAAACAAAAAAATCGAAAGTAAGCATAGACACAGCACGGGGACGTAAAAAGGCGGGGCGGATGTATATGACTTCACAGGCAGTCACGCAGACAGTACACATAGAATATATGAATTCATGCATATATACCACAGTGATTATATATATTAGAGGGACGTACCTTAGAGAGCACGAAGTCGCCATACCACCGCAGGCAGTCAATGTAGTTGGTGTGCACGTCACACACCACATAGAGCTGGGTGGGGTGCGGTGGGAAGCGGTGGGGGCAGGTGAAGGGAGCAAGGATGAAAGAGAGGCAGTCAATGTAGTTGGTGTGCACGTCACACACCACATAGAGCTGGGTGGAGTGCGGTGGGAAGCGGTGGGGGCAGGTGAAGGGAGCAACAATCAAAGAGAGGCAGTCAATGTAGTTGGTGTGCACGTCACACACCACATACAGCTGGGTTGTGGGGTAGGAGAGGGAGAGGTGGGGCAGAAGGGAGTGAGGAGGGGCAGGAGGGAGTGAGGAGGGGAGGAGGGAGTGAGGAGGGGCAGGAGGGAGTGAGGAGGGGCAGGAGGGAGTGAGGAGGGGCAGGAGGGAGTGAGGAGGGGCAGGAGGGAGTGAGGAGGGGCAGGAGGGAGTGAGGAGGGGCAGGAGGGCGCGAAGCGGGATCAGAAGTTAAGCAACCAAGGAAGAGAGGCAGTCAATGTAGTTGGTGTGCACGTCACACACCACGCACAGCTGGGTGGAGGGTAGGAAGGGGCGAGGTGGGGAAGATTGTTGCGCAAGTCGTTTTATGCTTGAGGTGGCCCAAGAAAGACGTCTCACTCACTGGAGAACTGTGGGGTGATTTCAATAATTCTCAAAACTACCATGCGAATCCTGGGGTGTCTCTAGAAAGATGACGTACAGGGTACTGTAGAATCTTGGTGGGGAACTTGGATGGGACGTCTGTCCAGGTGTTGGACTGGTCTACCACATGCCAGCACTCTGAAAAGGAGGTGAGAAGGAGAGGAGAGGAGGCCAACAGAGAAAGGCAGGGAGAAAGGTGGGGCGATTGCTAAGAGGCTTGGATGGGACGTCTGTCCAGGTGTTGGATTGGTCTACCACGTGCTAGCACTCTGATGGAGGAGAGGAGAGGAGAGGAGGAGAGGAGGAGAGGAGGAGAGGAGGAGAGGAGAGGAGGAGAGGAGGAGAGGAGAGGAGGAGGAGAGGAGGGGAAGAGAGGAGCCCGATGGAGAAAGACAAGGAAAGAGGGTGGGGCAATTCGTGAGAGGGTTGGATGGAAAATTTGCCCATGTGCATGCATGAAGGGGTAAGGACTGGGCCACCATACACCAGCGCTCTGGCACGGAGGAGGGAGAGACATGCATGTGGGTGCAAGTACCAAGAGTGGAGAAGGGCACACTTCTGAGCAGTATCAAGAGTAAGAGGGGCGCTAATCTACCTTGCAGGCTCCACTCGCGGATGATGCTGCTGTCCATGCCACAGCTGGCGATGATTCCCTCGCTGTGAGGGCGAGAGAGAGAGTATGTGTGAGTGTGTGAGAGAGAGAGCGAGTGGGGGAGAGAGTGTATGAGAGCGAACCTTGTAGGCTCCACACGCGGATGCTGCTGTGCATGCCACAGCTGGCGATGATTGCCTGGAGGAGATGTGCAAGTGTGCAGCTGAAAGGTGGAGGAGTGACAGGGACGCAGCCTTACCTTGCAGGCTCCACACACGGATGCTGCTGTCCATGCCACAGCTGGCGATGATTGCCTGGTCACCGGGATGGAAGTCCTGCGGGACACAGCATGGGAGGCACGCATGGAATACAACATACATGCATTAAAGCAAGAGGGACACAGTTCCATGCCGCAGCTGGCGATGATGGCCAGGTCACCCGGATGGAAGTCCTGCGACACAAAGCATGAGGGACAGCAAAACATTTTGCAAGACAGCATAATGGAGATATTAGCACACATCTGCACAATGGGAAGAAAACGATACCGTACAATGACATACCATACCATGCCACACCATATGCAATAATTACATATTGCAAAAAGTTATACTACACTGTGCAATGCCACTTTACTGTACCGCGCTGAGCACTTCATTTCTATGCACGTCGGTGCCGCTCATAATCGCCACGCACACCCCTGTGTCTGTGTTCCACAGCCGGCAAGACTCGTCCTTCACTTCACTGGACCATTCAACATATGCATGTATGTATGTGTTTACTGTACCGCGCTGAGGACCTCGTTGCGATGCCCGTCGGTGCCGCTCATAATGGCCACGCACACGCCCGTGTCTGTGTTCCACAGCCGCTGCGACTCGTCCTTTCACTGGACTACTGAGCATATACACAAACGAATATACATTTCATATGTATATGCATGTATTAGACAGACACTGTGTTTACTGTACCGCACTGAGCACTTCATTTCGGTGCCCGTCGGTGCCGCTCATGATGGCCACGCACACCCCCGTGTCCGTGTTCCACAGCCGTAGCGACTCGTCCTTTCCGGCTGAGAGCAGCAGCGCGGGGTGGGTGGGATGCACCCTCACCTCGTTCACTGCCCCGCCATGGCCTTTGAAACTCTGAGGAGGGGGGGAAGTTGGGGGGAAAGGGATGGAGGCTCCACATATGCAGCACATGTGGGTCTCCTTCCCGGCTGAGAGCAGCAGCGTGGGGTGAGACGGATGCACCCTCACCTCGTTCACTGCGCCACCATGGCCTTTGAAACTCTGGAGGAAGAAAGGGGGAGAGTGGAGGGGTGGGAGGAGGAAAAACGAAGAGCAGCTTATGTCTGCCTCTCTCTCCCTCTCGTCCTTGCCGGCTGAGAGCAGCAGCGTGGGGTGGGACGGATGCACCCTCACCTCGTTCACTGCGCCGCCGTGCCCGATGAAACTCTGGAGGAGGGGAAGGGGGAGAGTGGAGGGGTGGGAGGAGGAAAAACGAAGAGCAGCATATGTCTGCCTCTCTTCTCCTTGCCGGCTGACAGCAGCAGCACGGGTGGCATGGATGCACCCTCACCTCATTCACCGCCGCACGCACCGCACCGTGCCCGATAAAACTCTGAAGGAAGAAAGGGGGGGAGTGGAAGGTTGGGAGAAGGAAAATCGAAGAGCAGCTTATGCCTGCCTCTCTTCTCCTTGCCGGCTGAGAGCAGCAGCGCGGGTGGCATGGATGCACCCTCACCTCGTTCACTGCGCCTCCGTTCCCGGTGAAACTCTGGGGTGGGGAAGAGGGAGGGGGGGAACGGGACGGAGGCGCCTCAAAGGTAGTTTGGATGTGTAACCTTGCCAGCTGAGAGCAGGAGAGCGGGGTGGCATGGATACACCCTCACCTCGTTCACTGCGCCGCCGTGCCCGATGAAACTCTGGAGGAGGGGAGTGTAGGGAGGGGAGGAGGTGGGACGGAGAGCAACTTATGCCTGCCTCTTTCCTGTCCTTGCCTTCCCGGCTGGCAGCAGCAGCGCGGGGTGGGTGGGTGGGATGCTCCCTCACCTCGTTCACCGCCCCGCCGTGCCCGATGAAACTCTGAAAGGAAAAGGGGGGTGTTGGTGGGGTGTATGCAGAAGCGCGTGCTTGTTGTTGCACCTTACGCCTGCTCCTTCCATTCTTGCCTTGCTGGCCGAGAGCAGCAGCGCGGGGTGGGACGGATGCACCCCATCCTCTTAACCCACAACCCCCTTCCCCTTACCACCCATCGAAACCTCCTTTTCTCCCCTCTCCCAACCTCCTCTCCCCCTCTCAGGCCGGAGGCGAACGCGAAGCCGAGCCCGCCGTTCGTGTGGATGGTAGTTTCATTCATCATCCTGGCAATCTCAGTGCTGGTGCTGTGGATGGCCGTGCACCTCATGGCCAAGCTCGAAACCGACACGCTGCGAGTGGAGTCGGCTCAGGCACAGCTTGCTACAGCCAAGGTGGCTGCGGAGGCGGCGAGTCAAGCCAAGAGTGACTTCCTCACCACCATGAGCCACGAGATTCGCACGCCCATGAACGGGGTAATCGGTACGTGGTGGGTCTGTACTAGGTGCGTGCCTGAAACAGGGTCTTATCAGAGAACCGGCACCTCATGACCAAGCTCGAGACCGACACCCTGCGCGTGGAGTCAGCTCAGGCAGAGCTCGTGAGGGCCAAGGTTGCTGCAGAGGCGGCGAGCCGGGCTAACAGCGACTTCCTCACCACCATGAGCCACGAGATTCGCACGCCCATGAACGGGGTAATCGGTACGTGGTGGGTCTGTACTAGGTGCGTGCCTGAAACAGGGTCTTATCAGAGAACCGGCACCTCATGACCAAGCTCGAGACCGACACCCTGCGCGTGGAGTCAGCTCAGGCAGAGCTCGTGAGGGCCAAGGTTGCTGCAGAGGCGGCGAGCCGGGCTAACAGCGACTTCCTCACCACCATGAGCCACGAGATTCGCACGCCCATGAACGGCGTCATTGGTATGCTTTCAGTCGTCATAGACAAGCAAGCCCCCACCATGCATGCATGAACCCCCATGAACCCTGAATTCCTGCCTGCACATCACCACCACCACCCCTCTGGGCGACCCTGACTCCTGCCTCTTACCCCCCCCTCTCTCCCCCGTTCCTCCCCAAACTCTCCTTCCCCCACCAGGCATGCTGAACCTGTTGCTGGAGACCCCTCTGGGCGACCCTGACTCCTGTCTCTTTCCTTCCTCCCAATGTTTGTTCTTTCCCAGGAATGCTGAACCTGCTACTGGAAACCCCTCTGGACGGCACACAGCAAGACTACGCGGAGACAAGCTGACTCCATAATCTTCCCTCTCCTTCCCCTCCATCCCCCGTTTCCTTCACCCCCCCTCCTCCTCCCTGCCAGGCATGCTGAACCTGCTACTAGAAACCCCGGTGGACGGCACGCAGCAGGACTATGCGGAGACGAGCTCATGCCCACCTTCTCCCACTTCCTTGCTCCACTTCCCCCTCCCCCACACCCCCTCCCCCCTTTCCCCTCGCCAGGCATGCTGAACCTGCTCACTCACTAATTCCCGACTGACTGACTGACTCACTCACTCACTCACATGAACAACTGTCTCTCTCCAGCAGTCAATGATCCGAATCACCCCGCTGCTGCCACTAGCTGCCAACAGCGGCCGCCCTTGCTGCCCTCTCATCCATGCCACCGTGTAAAACGACTCATCCTTCTGGTGATGGGTATGGGATGGTAGCACAAGGGAGTAAACGAGACACGCACATAAGAAAAGAAGAGAGATGTGAATAAGGCGTACATACGCACAAAGGGGAGATACGATCACTACTGCTCGCCCTCTCATCCATGCCACTGTGTAGAATGATTCATCCTTCTGGTGATGGGTATGGGATGGCAGCGCATGGATGCACACGGCAACACATAGCAGCACATGGCAACACATGGCAACATATAGCAACACATGGATGCGCATGCATGCACACAGCAACACATAGCAACACATGGATGCACGTGGATGCACAGCACACAGACGCGCATGGATGCATGCATACGGCAACACATGCGTGAATACAATTGGACGCACATGGCATGGCAGCACATTGCATGGCAGCAAATGGCCATGGCATGGCAGTACAAAAGGACACGTGGGAACAGCATGCACTCGCAACCTGCACTGAAATACACATGCATGCATGCAGGTACAGATGAGCTTAGACACTCGCATGACACGACATTGTATGATGTGTTCGAGCGAATGAAGTGCATGAATGAAGTGCATGAATGAAGTGAATGAAGTGCATGAATGAAGTGCATGAATGAAGTGAATGAATGAAGTGCATGAATGAAGTGCATGAATGAAGTGCATGAATGAAGTGCATGAATGAAGTGCATGAATGAAGTGAATGAAGTGCATGAATGAAGTGCATGAATGAAGTGCATGAATGAAGTGCATGAATGAAGTGAATGAAGTGCATGAATGAAGTGCATGAATGAAGTGCATGAATGAAGTGCATGAATGAAGTGCATGAATGAAGTGCATGAATGAAGTGAATGAAGTGCATGAATGAAGTGCATGAATGAAATGAATGAAGTGCATGAATGAAGTGCATGAATGAAGTGCATGAATGAAATGAATGAAGTGCATGAATAAAGTGCATGAATGAAGTGCATGAATGAAGTGAATGAAGTGCATGAATGAAGTGCATGAATGAAGTGCATGAATGAAGTGAATGAAGTGCATGAATGAAGTGCATGAATGAAGTGAATGAAGTGCATGAATGAAGTGCATGAATGAAGTGAATGAAGTGCATGAATGAAGTGCATGAATGAAGTGCATGAATGAAGTGCATGAATGAAGTGCATGAATGAAGTGCATGAATGAAGTGCATGAATGAAGTGCATGAATGAAGTGAATGAAGTGCATGAATGAAGTGCATGAATGAAGTGCATGAATGAAGTGCATGAATGAAATGAATGAAGTGCATGAATGAAGTGCATGAATGAAATGAATGAAGTGCATGAATAAAGTGCATGAATGAAGTGCATGAATGAAGTGCATGAATGAAGTGAATGAAGTGCATGAATGAAGTGCATGAATGAAGTGAATCAAGTGCATGAATGAAGTGAATGAAGTGCATGAATGAAGTGCATGAATGAAGTGCATGAATGAAGTGCATGAATGAAGTGCATGAATGAAGTGCATGAATGAAGTGCATGAATGAAGTGCATGAATGAAGTGAATGAAGTGCATGAATGAAGTGCATGAATGAAGTGAATGAAGTGCATGAATGAAGTGCATGAATGAAGTGCATGAATGAAGTGAATGAATGAAGTGAATGAAGTGCATGAATGAAGTGCATGAATGAAGTGAATGAATGAAGTGAATGGATGAAGTGAATGAAGTGAATGAATGAAGTGAATGAAGTGCATGAATGAAGTGCATGAATGAAGTGAATGAATGAAGTGAATGAAGTGCATGAATGAAGTGAATGAATGAAGTGAATGAAGTGCATGAAGTGCATGAATGAAGTGCATGAATGAAGTGAATGAATGAAGTGAATGAAGTGCATGAATGAAGTACCCCTAAGCACTTCCAAGGAACGCACCATCAGGCATGCACGTGTAACAACTCCATAAAACGATACGCAAATGTCCCGTTACTGTACATTTTCATCGACGAATAGTTGCACGACGATCGTTGCACCTCCAGGCTCGCACTTGTACACTGTAACCTGCAATGCAATGCAAGCACAATATTCACGCGCAATAATCGAGCACAATAATCGAGCTCAATAATCGAGCACAATAATCGAGCACATCACTCAGGCACCTCAGAAATCGTCGAACACATATTGACAGGAAATAGTCAAGGTTGCGGGAAAGCTTGTTCGATGTATTCTTCATATTCACTCACAAGCGATTCCCTCCTGGCTCCAATACGCAAACCCGTCTCTTCTCTTCCTGCATCCGAATCTCCGTACCCTGATGCCAGACACGTTTCCCGTCCTACCCTAAACCCTGTCTCAAAATTCTTACCCTGTTGCCTGAAACGCTAGCGAACATGTCGAGGTAGCGAGGATCGATGGTGTTGAAGCATCCCCCGAACACGGGCTTCCGACCTTCACTGACCTGCACGGGAGGGTGATTATGAGGATGGGAGAACAATTATAACGGGGACAACAAGAGCACATGTCGAGACAGCAAGGAAAGGAGGGTCGATGGTGTTGAAGCATCCCCCAAACACAGGCTTCCTGCCTTCGCTAACCTGCATGCACGGGAGCATGTGTATGAGGATGGAAGGATTCTTATAAGGGGGACAACAGGAGCGCATGTTGAGGTAGCGGGGGTCGATGGTGTTGAAGCATCCCCCAAACACGGGCTTCCGGCCTTCACTGACCTGTATGCACGGGAGCCGAGTTAAGATGCTTATAACGGGCACAACAAGAGCACATGTTGAGACGGCAAGGAAAGGAGGGTCGATGGTGTTAAAGCATCCCCCAAACACAGGCTTCCGGCCTTCACTGACCTGCGAGTGATGCGAGGGATAACAGGACAGAACGACCAAGGACACAGATAACTGGAGATCGTGACAAACCCGCTGACCGTCAACCATCATCACATCCGCATTCACCGCCACTGCTTCGAGTTTGCGAATCCCATCAACCTCGCCCACTGCATCGGCACTGAACGCTACCTACCATTTAACCAGCATCACATCCGGCGCATTCACCTTCATAACGGCTTTGTATTCGCGTCGCTTTCCTCGCAACGCAGCGCCGCGATTCGGACCTCCTGGCGCCATGCCGAAGTTATTGCGTTCGACACTGAAGCGTCTTCTTAACCTCACTTTGAAACTATCGAGTTATGCTCTACACCGAGTACATGGTGGCACATAATCGTACCGTCATCGACAACCACAGAGATCCCGCGTTTCGCACTGAAATATCCAGAAACTGTAGTGCCAAGCCGGGAACGAATTCACATATTCCTAAGAAACTTGTGAATGGAAAATGCTCGCCAACCCAGAAGACTTGGGAATATCCACGCGCACGCACGCTCGGCGCTCTCGTTAAAGCCACTCGGAACTGACGGCCCGAGGGCGATCACCACTGTGAGGTATCCGCTCCTATTCTGAGAAAACCTGATGCTAGTCTAAATTCGAGTCTTACGGTACTGTGAGGTTTTGACGACTCCGTTTTGTAAGGTGCAGTGCGACTCTCAGATATCCAGAGTGTTGCAAAACGTTACAGTGTGGTGGAATGGTTCTCGCCAAGAACTGCTCCTTTCACTAAGAAGCACGAGCCAAGGAATTGGGAGGGTAGGGGGAATACCGAACATGAATACTGAGCTCACGATATCGTGTCGCTTCGCAAACCAGCAATTTCGCAGTTCGCGACAAATTGCGACTGAATCATAAGACTCTCAAACCAGTTCAATAGACGAAATACAAAAGCGAACTGTTGTCCGGTTACCCAATTGCACGTGTTTCTCTGGAGTGTTTCTGGTTCCATCTTTTTATTTCACTTCAAATTGCTAGCTGCCTGGCATCACTTTGCACCTATCTCGCACCGCCCTTAGCATCAAGCTACTATACGCAGTGGAGGTAGCGAAGACAGCCATTGCTCGAGTTTCCCTTCCGCTGCTGCTCTCTCCTTCGAGGTGAGGCGACACAGCCGTTTCTCTAAGACATGGAGTTTTTTAAGTAGTCGCTCTGGGAGTCAAATTGTTCCGTGCGTAAGGAGGTTTTTTAGGGTTTCATTGACGAATGTGAATGGAACACAGAGGTAACTGGCTACATCATGTGTTCTTCGTTTGAGTCTTCATTCGACAGAAACTGCTATACTGCCTTCGCAAAATCCTCAACCGCACCATCCCCGCGCAAATCTTTCGGTGTGCTTCTGCTCCCCTCTCCACGCCCTTCTCACGCCCTGCTTTTCCTTTCGCCTCGTAACTCTGCCAGTGGCCCATTCGCATCCATTCTACTATCGTTCCTTCACCTTCTCATTCCACCATGGATCTTGCATCACCTCCCTCCCCCCTCCTCCCTTTCAAATCCAGCTACCATGCCGTCCCTTCTCCCCTTGCTACCCTCCCTCAAACGCATCAGTCTCATCTGCACTAATCCAGTTCGAACTTTGAGTCGACTCAAGCAGTGCCGCCTCCCCCTTCCCCATCCCTTTTCGCAGTACCTGCGTCCCCCACCATCCCCTTTTTTCACTGCCCGCCTCCGCCCTTCCCCACCCCCCTGGCACCATCCCTCCTCTCAACCCCCATCCCTCCCTGCCTCGCGCCCCATTCTTCCCCCACTGCCCTGCCCTTCCCCCCATCCCACTTATAGTATCCCTGTTCATCCTCCTTTCTGCGACTCTCATTTGTGCCCTTTCTCTTACCCCCAATATCCCTCTCGTGACTTCCTCCTTCACAAGTCCTCAGAAGAAGACGAGTCCGATCCAGCAATCCCTGTTTCCATACTGAAACTACTTCTCAGAAAGCAAAAGGAGGTAAACCTTGATTTCAGCTCTCTTTCTTCCTCCATTTGCCCCACTGCAGGCACCTGCGGTTCCAACAATATGGGATGAGGCACAACCCATTTAGACCAAAATGAGAATCCTAAATATCTGTCTGACTCCTCTCCTCCCTTTGGCTGTGCTGCAGGCACAGGAAGATCCAATTCAGCATCGAATCCAAGATACGATCCATCAATACGTCAGAGCAGCCACATTCTCTCGTCTTTGAACCCACCTTCAGCAGTACAACCTTGCACTTTGATTGCTGCTCTAGCCCACAGCACACAGAGCACACACAGCACACACAACCCGCCCAGCATGCTTTCATGCCGCATGCCAATTGGGCACCATGGCACAACTAGCAGCCTGCACACACCTGTCAGCAGCACGTGTATGCTCATGTTCAGCCATTCATCAGCTGCCACTGTCACGTCCTGGAGCAGCTATAGCAGCATCAGCAGCAGCAGCATAAGCTCCAGCAGTAGCTTAAGTCCCAGCAGCAGCAGCACGGGTCACAGCATGCGCCACTTAACAGGGTTGGGATGTGAGGCGCCAAGGGGGAACCCGTGGGTGGAAGGCTCGGGGGCAAGGCGGGGTGTTGCTGCTCACGCCAGACGCAAGAGGGTGAGTTTCCAACTTTTGCCTGTTTCTCCTGTGGGTTTTGCTTGGGGTGCGTTTGCCTGCAATCACCTGTGCGGGCAGTGTGCATGCATATTACCACCTGTTCAGATATCAGTTCGTCAATTAGCGTGCATAATCTTCAGGTGATAAAAAAATAGTGTGCACTAGAATATGCGCTTCGCTTATGCTTCTCACTCTTTCTAGGGCTCCCGCTCTCCCAATCTCGCACCTTCATGCTCCTCGATCGTGTCCCAGTATGGTTCAAGAATTCTCAAAAACCAGTCAGAACCTACAAATTTTTCAGTTTGGTTCAAGGATTCTCAAAATCCCTTGCTCGTCCCGTCTTGCCTCTTCGCTCTTCTCGTTCTTGCCTCAGTATGTGGAACCATGCACACTCCCAATATGAAGCTTACTGACTTTTTATTTTATTTTTTCACGGCTCTCCTCTATCGCCTTCCCATCCCCTTTATAGAAGCACCCGCAACCAGATAAGGTCATGGACGGAGTAGAACAGCTAGTCGATAACTACAACATAGAAAAAGGTTTATCGTCCCAGCAGCTCTCAGCTAATGACGTGTCTCTCCTCTATCACCTTCCCATCCCCTTTACAGAAGAACCCACAACCGGATAAGCTCATGGATGGTGTAGACCAGCTAGTCGACGAGCACGACATAGAAAAGGTTGCGTCAGCCAATCAGCTCTCAGCTGATGACGTGGCAGCAGGGGAGCTGTCGCTGGATTGCAACCGATTCCTGATTGGCCGCAGCATGATCAACGACCGAGTGAGCGACCATGAGGAAGGGATCACTTGGCTGCGATCGGCCCCGCGCCTGCTGTGGGTGGCTCGGGAGAGGCGTGCCGAGGCTGATGCAGAGGAGAGGCAGAGGAGACGGGAGAAGTAGGGAATCTTGACAAAAGGTGGTCATTTCCTTTTCTTACATGTTGGCTCTGAAATGGTACAGTAAAGAAGTGCTTTTACGACCGAGTGAGTGACCATGAGGAGGGGATCACGTGGCTGCGATCGGCCCCGCGCCTGCTGTGGGTGGCTCGGGAGAGGCGTGCCGAGGCTGATGCATCGGAGAGGCAGAGGAGACGGGAGAAGTAGGGAATCTGGGACCTTTGGTGAAAAGACGGCTCTGTTGTTATGTCTTGTATTGGAGTGGTACAGTAAGGAAATGTTTGCGCTCTTGGTAGGTACCATGTCTTACTCCAAGTTGTAACTAGTCCCCTGCGGGCCCGAAATTTTTAGAAGCCCTGATTTTGCTTACAATTTTGTACGGTATCATTACTGTACAGACAGTTCGCCCTTACAATTTCGTACGGTATCATTACTGTACAGACAGTTCGCCCTTACAATTTCGTACGGTATCATTACGGTACTTGCCAGGGCATCCTCCCCTTATGCCTGCCAGGGCATCTGCTGGAACGTTGCCAGGGCATCCATGCTTTGGCTAGCTTCTAGGACAGATACCATCTCATAGCATGCGCAGGACCGAGGTTCCTCCGAGCAAACACTGGAAGCTGCAAGCGAACCTCGCATGATGCAGGCATGTGCTTCTCCTAGTTGATGCTTGCCCCGCGTATCATGGTGGCTTTGCGTTGAAGAGCAGCAAGCAGGTCATCAAACGACTTTGCAAACTTGGCAACGCCATCGGCCTCCAGCTCCTGCCATTACCATTACATCAGGCAAATAAGATTAGCTGTCAGTTTGCAATAGCATGACCCAATTCACCAATAACAAGCACAACATTAACCAGCTCTTTCCTCATCCATCCTTCCTTCTCCCCTTCCTCCCATGCAAACGTGCAACCATGCATGCTTGCATCGACACGCCCATCCAACCATCCACCCATGCACGTGGGCATGCATTAGCAGATGTAGAAGATGTCTCACACACCCATGCGCCCATGACCATGCACACACATTAGATGTAAATTTCATCTCACCTTGGCAACTTCCTCCATGTCCACTCCCACAGCCTTAAGACGATCCAGCGCACCATAGGCAGCATCCACGTCAGCATCTACAGTGCGCTTCACCTGCACACACCCCACAAAGATAACATGTAGTAAGAAATGTATTGTACCTTGTGCAGCATCCGTCCCCCCAAAAGCTTATGTGTCTGCTTCTAGGCAAGCAGACACCGACAAACAGATGGGAATAAAAACATAACAGAAAACGGGATGCAGAAAAACACAATGTTCCTCACCTCCCCATGGTCCGCAAACGCAAGCAGGGTGGCGTCAGGCATGGTGTTCACAGAGTGCGGACCAATCAGAGCGTCGATGTACTTTGTGTCCGGATACGATGGATCTTTCACTCCCGTTGACGCCCACAATGGCCGCTGCACCCGTGCCCCCAGCTGCTCCAACGCCTTCCACCTGAAAAGGGTTCAAATGGTGATTTGACATTCTTGTTTTGGTGTCCGGAAACAACGGATCTTTCACTCCTGATGATGCCCACAATGGCCGCTGCACCCGTGCTCCCAGCTGCTCCAGCGCCTTCCACCTGAGCAGGATGTAATTGAGTTGTAGGGAACTGATTAGCAAGAAATGAGCCAGGTGCTTTGTGCCTAGATACGATGCATCTGTCACTTCTGTCAGATGCTTTTTGAGACGTCTCAAAAACTGATTAGCAGGGACCGAACAGGTGCTTTGTGTCTAGATACAGTGAACCAGTCACTCATGTCAACGCCCACAGTGGCAGCTGCGCTAGACCATGTCGAACTCACCTGGGCCTGCTGAACCCACCTGGGACTGCACTCCTGAAACTGCTGAACCCACCTGGGACCATTGAACCCACCTTACTCTGTTGAATTCACATGGGACTGCTGACCCCACCTGGGATCGCTGAACCCACCTGGGACCGCTGAACTTGGTTTTGAACATGTCATAAGCCACCACGGCCTGTGCCACTGCTGCCTTGCCCAGCAGAGCCCGAGCATCCTCCGTGCCGATGGCCTGAAAGTGGAATACACAGGAAGACCAACCAGCAATCATCACAGCCAGGAAAGGACAATCAATCAGCACCAACAGATTGTGAACATGCCATATGCCACTACCGCCTGTGCAACTGCTGCCTTTCCCACCAGAGCCCGCGCCTCCTCCGTGCCGATGGCCTGTGAGTGGGATACACAGAAATTAACACGCAGACCTATAAACATGTCCTTTGCAGATGCAATATGAAGCAAATGCCATCTGAGCATGTGATACACCACCACAGCCTGCGCCATAGGTGCGTTGCCCAACAGATAGTGTTTTTTTTTAATTCTCAATGAGTGTTTTTTTAGAATTCTCAAAAAACACTCGAGAATTCTCAAAAAGAATTCTCAAAAAACACTCACTGCAGATGCCATCTGAGCATGTGATACACCACCACAGCCTGCGCCATAGGTGCGTTGCCCAACAGATTTGCAGGCTCCTATGTACTGGTTGCATGTGCATGGAAGGCACATGTATGACACTGTCACCCCACGCGTGGAAGGAACACAGAACGAAGCTACAGAGGAGGCAGAGGAGAGGTGTGCGTGGTGCATACCTTGATGCCATGCGTGCCCCCCCCCCATCCCCTACATACACCTCCGCACCCATACACATGCCTCCTCACCCATACACATGCCTCCTCACCCACACACATGCCTCCTCACCCACACACATGCCTCCTCACCCACACACATGCCTCCTCACCCACACACATGCCTCCTCACCCACACACATGCCTCCTCACCCACACACATGCCTCCTCACCCACACACATGCCTCCTCACCCACACACATGCCTCCTCACCCACACACATGCCTCCTCACCCACACACATGCCTCCTCACCCACACACATGCCTCCTCACCCACACACATGCCTCCTCACCCACACACATGCCTCCTCACCCACACACATGCCTCCTCACCCACACACATGCCTCCTCACCCACACACATGCCTCCTCACCCACACACATGCCTCCTCACCCACACACATGCCTCCTCACCCACACACATGCCTTCTCACCCACACACATGCCTCCTCACCCACACACATGCCTCCTAACCCACACACATGCCTTATCATCCCCAAACACACATATTGAGACGCCTATCCACAGCACTGTCGACCCGAGAGACAAAGAGAGACGCAACAGAAGTGACTGAGGAGAGACGTGCACCACACGCATTAGTTGACACACCACACCACAACCTCAGCCCGCTAACTTAATTATGCCACACACACCTTGAGACGCTTGTCAACAGCGCTGTCGACCCGAGAGACGAAGAACGAAGCCACAGAGGAGACTGAGGAGAGGTTGACACGTGGCAGGGCGCCTGCTTCTGAGTCAGACACGGCTGCTGACAGCTCAGATGCCACGTTGGCAGCTGCCACGGCGTCCTCCAGGCCTGCCACGTAAGCCTCCATCACCTCGCCGTAGCGCGTCAGAGAGAAGATGAGCTGAACAGTGGGGGGGGCAAAAAGGGGGAACGTGGAAGGGGAAAGGGTGAGGTGGAAAGAGGGGGGGACGCGAAGGGTGGGCAAATGGACCTAAAAGGCCGGCCACAAGCCTCCACGACCTCACTGTAGCGTGTCAGAGAAGATGAGCTGGGCGGTAAAGGGGGGGTGGAGAGGGGAAGGTGGAGAGGGGGGGGCGACCAAGGGGGGTTGCGGGAGGATAGGGAAAGGAATGAGGTAAGAATGGGCTACGGAGGGTAACGGAGTGGGGCGGGGAAGGAGACGGGTTCAAAGTGCAAGGAAGTTGAGTGCCGCTGAAACTCTTCCTGCAAGAGGAATAATCTCTCTTGTATGGCAACCGTGTTTTGAGGCACCTCAAAAATCGTCTCTTTCTGCAAGACAGATTATCTCTCTTGTATGGCAGCTGTGTCAAGCTCAGTGGCAGAGGGAGAAACAGGATTGAAGCGGAAAGGAAAGAAGGGAGGGGGGGACAGAGAGAGGATACACTTGCATTGACGTTCTTCATGCGGGAAATCATATCTTTTGTATAGCAGCGGCCACACCAGGCTCAGTAGCAGGGGGAAAAGCAAGCAGAGATAAAGCGGGCAGGAGAGCAGAGGGGGAGCACAGAGAGAGTACAGGTGCTTACAGTGGCATTGATGTTCTTCATGCGGGAAATCATCTCTCGAATAGCAGCCACACCAGGATCGGTGGCAGGGATCTTGACCATCAGGTTCGGCCGAGCCAGGTCGGCGTGGAGCTCCCGAGCCAGCGACACCGAACCTGCCGTGTCGTAGGCCAGCTTCGGCGAGACTTCAAGGGAGACGAACCCATCGCCACCTGGTGATGTGGCAGGCATTGATTGGATGGGGAGATGTCAGGCTGAGATATGGATTTGTAAGTAACCTTCCCAGAAGAACATCATAATTACAAAAAATAGATGGACAAGTTCAAACACTCCCAAACAAGCAAATAGAAAGCTCTCCATTTTACTCCCCATCATGCTTACTGTTACAAGCAAAAAACAGCTCGTCTAACCAAGCAGCAGTAGAGACGATATCTTGTTTAACCATCTCCCAATATGTGCCCTCGGCCACCCCCCTCTCCACCTCCCCATGCCTTCCCGCCTTGCTATACTCGCTATAAGCACGCTCAAACTCACCGTTAGATTCGCGGAACAGCTCTTCTAACGAAGCAGCAGCAGTGCCGATATCTTGCTTCACCATCTCCCAGTAAGCGCCCTCCGCCACCCCCCTCTCCACCTCCCCATGGCTCTCCAACATCCCTCCCCCCAGCAGCACCCCCTCGCGGAACAAAATGTTCCTGTAAAAAAATAATGTGAAATAACACCAGGTGGGAAAATAGTGGGTGGGATAGTAACGAGACATATCACTCTCGAAATTTCTCCAGGGCTCCCCATGGCTCTCCGTCATCCCTCCCCCCAGCAACACCCCCTCGCGGAACAAAATGGTTAAAAATAAAAATAAAAATTTGTGGAGTAATAACGGTTGGGCAATAGCAGGTGGGATAATAATAAGAAATATCACTCCCAGCCCCCCCCATACCTTCCCGTAGCTCTTTGCCATCCCTCCCCTCAGCAGCACCCCCTCGCAGAACAAAACGTTTCTAATGTGAGCTAACAGCAGGTGGGACAGTAGCGGGTGTGATAATAACGAGAAACATCACTCCCAGGACTCCCCAAAGCTCTCCATTCCTCTTTGCCATCCCTCCCCCCAGCAGCACCCCCTTGCATAACAAAATGTTCCTGAGCAGCCGGAGCTGCTGGTCATACACGTCAGTTCCACTTATCGCCTTCTCGAATAACATGTTAATGTGTCCCACTCTCAGCATACCTAGACAGTCTCCCAAAGCAGCTTACCGGAGCTGCTGGTCATACACGTCAGTCCCACTTATCGCCTTCTCGAAAATCTGCGAAAGCCTCAGAACAACAAAATATGGATGTCAATTTGGTGAATACCTTGAAGTGGAAAAGACACTCAAATTCAATCATCAACAGGAAACCAAAAGCCAGAACTAATTGCAACACACACGCGAACACTTTAACAGAATCTAACACTCAGTATCGCATGCTGACACCCATTCAGGGCATCATAAGCTGTGGATTGGTCATACAGTAGGATTGCTGGTGATGCCTCTGATGCCACGTCGGACCAGCTCCCTGAGATGACCCGACGCCACCCAATCGCGCGTCAGGTTGTCAATCCACAGGGATTGCCCCTCCTGCATGTAGTTATATATACTCGATATAAGGTGTGTGTGAGAGACTTTATCGCATTGGTTTTTGAGGCACAAAAGAACCCTCTTATGAGTTCACTCAAAGCAAAAATCTTACCTTGTCAAAGAGCTCCGTGAGTCTATTAGGAGCCTCTGGTGGTTGCAGCGACAGCATTAAATTTGTAAAAACAATCAAGAAGCCTGTATTCACTCATAATAAAAGTAATCATACCTTATTAAAGAGCTCCGTAAGTTTATTAGGAGGCTCTGGAGGCAGCTGCGATGGCTTCGCTAAAACGGCCTTCCCTTCAATCACACCCTCCTTCTCTGCGAACGGCTGGGCTGAATTTTCCTTCGTGGTCGACTCTCCGCGCGCCACGTGGCTCGGATCCGTGGCGGTCATCACCACCGAGCGTCCACCTGTCATCCGCCTGCTGACGTAGATCTTATTTGGAAACGCCACGCCGCCACGTTTGTTGCGAACTGCACTATGGTGCTCAGTGAATGATTCTAACGACGCTCGCGACGCGATTGGCGTTGGTAACACTTTCGTGAATAGAGATTGCGCCATGTTGGCAAGAAAGCTCGAGGCCAGAGAAGGAAATCCACGACAATTTCCCGTCAGAGCGATTAAACCTCACAATCGCATCACTTGCGCGCATCTCTTGCGTACATCACTTGTGCGCATTACTTGCGCGAACCATTTTCGCTCCTTCTATGGCCAATCTTCGTCAAATTCCTGAGCGGCGCAGAACGAGGAATAAGTTGCATTGCATGCTGTGCATGTGCCGCAATTCCCGCATTTACCTCCAATTGTGTATTGCATGGCCGACGAGTGTTGGCAATAACTTAAAGCCCAAGTCAGCGGACAATCGCTCACATCGCACATGTTTCGTTTCAGCTTCGTGAGGTGTGATGTCTTCCCCAACTTCGCAGCACCCTTTCAGAGTGTTGCGAGACTTTTGATTCTGGAATGGTAACCAACCCAAATGTTTACAAGTTTGGTTTCGTTTGACAAAATTGGGATGTCCAGCACGGAGGGGTGGGTCACGACGAGAGTTCATTTTCGTGAGCCTTTACGCGAGATCGCATGAAGGTTGTTCGTCTTCATGTTACCTTCCAATCGTCGATCGCCTCACTCGCTAGGATGATTTCGCCAAGAAGCCAGACCGACTCCCCCTCCACCTCACCTACTTCGCAGCACCCTTTCAACTGCCTTGGGCGATCTCGTGAATGCTATCTCCTTCCTCTAGAAGCGGTCTTCTTGCTTCTAAAACAGTAGGTGGACGATGCGGCTCTGATCTACTCATCTACCCTAGTAGTAAATCCAGCCTAGCGGCCAACCCTAGTCAGTGTGGTCTAGGCAATCTATTTTCATAGCCCACAACCACGACCAGGAATTCTTGATTTGATATGGCTAGGGATGCTGCAGATGATCACTTATCCGCATCAGGACCGTCGTTAGAGTCGAAACCAGCAGTACGCCCGCACACGCGTATCGCGACTTATACCGAGTTCTGGCCGTTTTACCTCAAAGAGCACAACAAGCCAGCCACGCGTTTGTGGCACACCGCGGGAACCCTAGCCGCTCTCGCTTGCGTCACAACATCTGCAGTCACACGGAACCTTAGTTTCCTCCTACTGGCCCCTGTCGTCGGTTACGGCTGCGCGTGGTATTCGCATTTCTTCGTCCAGCGTAACAGACCGGCGACATTCCGTTACCCGCTCTGGTCAGTTTACAGTGACTTCCGGATGGCATTCCTTGTCGTTACTGGCCGGCTCTCCTGCCGCTAATCTGGTAAACCTGGCTGTCCTACCACTTATACCGAGTTCTGGTGGCTAAACTACAGCAGTACCATGCGTTGATGGATTGCATGGAGCAGCATGTACTTGGTTCTTGTTTAACATATGTACAGTGTACAGCTGGAATGCAGAGGGTTCATGACAGAAAGGGCTTGCCTACAATGGGTTGTTCTTCAGGCCCTGTTCAACCATCCTTGTTCCCATCCCTTGTTTTCAAAGCATGGAAGCAGAGTTGTATGGGCCTCCATTCTCCTCTTATACCTTGTCGTATCTCCCCACAGTCTTCTGTTTTCAGATTGTCATTTGTGTACCTTACAACGATCTTACCAATTTCATGTCTGTGCAGGTGGTGTGATATCTTATCCCTGAGAAGGGTGATGCAAAGAATGGAATGAATAGCAATGTGTATATCACAATTCAAAGAACAAGAACAGACCCTCTGCACACCTGCACACACCTGCGCCATTATAGACAAACCGGAGGGATTTCGAGCAGAGCAGCGCCCGTGCTACTGCCGTGCACGAAACATCATGAAATGAGCGACCATGATTGCAAATGAAGAGTGGTAGAGTGACACACCCGCTCAGACTCCTCACGGCTTGGGTTGGGCCCTCTGGCGAAGCACGCACATAAACTTCATGATATCGCGTACTTAGACAGTCTTGCTGATTCCAGCAGCCTTTTCCGCATTGTCAGCTTGAACTAGCGCAGCCTTGAGCTTATCCGAGAGCTGAAGCACTTTCTTGTCAGCGACAGCCTGGCTCTGCTTCGCCTTCGCCAAACGCGCCTTCGTGTCAGTAACCGCATTTGCCTTACTCGTCAGGTAGTCGCCAAGGGCCTTTTGCGCGTCAGCGACTGCCGCAACCGCGCTCTCGTACACCAGGCGCGTGGCGCTAACCGCGCCTCTCGCATCGTCCACTGCCATTTGGAAAATGCTCTCTCCCTGGGGACCCTGCGAGAGCAGAGTGAGCAATTCCTTCTGAACGCGATCCAGACGCGCTTGCGCGCGCGCATCTTGCGCCACAATATCCGGGAGCACATCCTCCACAGATTGGCGATAAAATTGCGCTTCCACGAGCGCCGCCTGTGCCATCAGCGAAGTCGGGTTGACCTTCACGGCCTTTTCCGCGTCTTTTTCCGCGTCCGCGGACTCTTGCACGACGAGCCGCCATTCCTCTAGCAGCATTGACGTCATCCGCGCGCGCCGACTCGCGTCATTGACCGCCTTCTGTGCCGCCGGGATTTGCGGGTGCGTTGACGGATCGGCCTGAAACGCCGCGAGATCCGCGATCCGGAGAACGAGGATTTTGTTTGCGATGTCGAGATCGTACTGCGCATCGGCGACGCTGTTATTCATTTCGGCGATCATTGAAATGCGGTCGTTGAGAGCCGGGTCCGGACCCTGCAGATCGGACAGAGTTCGGTTGGCGGCGGCGACTTCAGCTGCTTGTGTTGCGGCGTCCGCTTGCGCCGCTTTCAGGTCCGCTGCAGTCTGATTTGCCGCGGCGCGAAGCGTCTTGGCTTTCGCTACGAGGAAAGCGTTTTGCGCGGAGACGAACGCCCCGGGAGGAGCGAGAAGCGCGGTGAAACACACAAGGAGAGAGACAGCGAGAGCAGCACGTGAAATCGACATCATGCCGGGCGTTACTATTGAATCGAGGCGGATTGTTTGTTTGCAGAACTCAAATGACAGTATTACGTTGACAGCAGAGAGAAATGGAAATCACAGGGCTTTCCGTTTCGAATGTGGGGGAAGATAAGCACTCGAGAGGGAGTAGATAGTATGGGCTCAGTTGGCGATAGAAGTCAGACAAATAGTTCGCAAGGTAATCGATGGGATGGGATGTGACAGTGCGATGCGATGCGAGAGATGAGTGGTAGGTACGGTGGAGAGAAGCGGAACCAGCAAGAGCTCATCTTGGAGTCCTCTACGTGGTGCACCATGATTCAGCGCTGCGCCTCGTTTGTCGTTATGTTCGCCTGATGCTGCGTTGTGCTCTCCAGGCTGGCGTGACTATTACGAACGTAACTGGCTTATCAACGAAAAAACTCATTGAGATCAGTACCTCCTGAGCATCTTCCACCTAAAAAACAGACATACACGACTTCGATCAACTGCTACCGGATTTGACCAGCGAATTCCGAATTTGATACAGAGGCAAGGCGGCAGAGAGCTGTAAGCCAGGACAGGGACAGTGTTGTTACCAGGGCTGTCGCTTGGTCTGGGCCCAACCCTTAGGAAGCTGAGCTGGCCCGAAACTAGCCCTGAAACATCCGGACAGCAGTCGAATCTAGCCCTTAAATTCAGGCCATTTGGATTCCTGCACTGAGCCACATGCACCAGAAAGCTAAGTAGCTCTAGGGAGTACTCTACCGATCAGAGCACGCTGGTGCGGGAGAGTAGAGAAGGCTGGGAGGAAGAGAAGTGGGACACGTACACGGTCGAAGGTCAGGAAGTAGGGGGGGAAGGGTGGGGGGAGGGGAGAGCAGGTACACGGGAAATCCAGGGAAGGCTCCAAACCCGTCCGTTAGGAATACGGGCCAGGAAAAAACCAGCCCTGAAAATCTCTGAGCTGAGTTGAAACGAACCCTGAATTCTCAGGGGAAACGGGAAAATGCCCGTGAATCGACAGGCCTGGTTGTTACAGCTGCTCCTTCAACGTGGTAAGGTGTAGGTAGCAGGCAAACACCACGAATCAAGAAGTTGACGAATCTTTTTCCCTGTGGTGGCAGGGAGTCATGCGGAGAGCCCATGTGATCAAGCCCGGCCTCACGTTTCGCGAATTTCGGTGCCATCTCCCCCCCTCAGGCGGGCATGTCCCTCCCTCCATCGGGTGACTCATCGGGATTCTCCCTCCCTCCCTTGCTCCTCCATGAATTTGTTTCCACGAGAGGCAGTACAGTACAGTACGGCCCTAATTCGTTGACGGCTGAGAACTATATTCCAAACTTCCAAACTATTCGAACCGCGTGTGAACGGCTGAGATTGCAGGCAGGCTTTCTGGCTGAAAAAGGAGGCTGGCAAATGTTGGAAAATGAGCCGTCGATTTAGAGAATCTGGACGGTAACGATTGCCCCTCATATTGTGTAGGTTGGAATGACAACCGTCGATGCGAAATGAATCGAATGGATGGTGGTACAATAGAGACAAAGGTTTTCTGTTCGGTACAATAAATTGCAACTACCATTTCCCTCCCTCCCTTCTTGCACCAGCAACCCACCTACCCACAATCCACAATTTCATTCCACCTTTCAACTTTGTGGAATTTGTGTGGAATTGAGCTATGGGTGGAATAGTCCAGAATTTGCATTACAAAAACAGTCTCAAAACCAAAGCTTAATTGGGCCCATTCACTCTTTGTAACCATGGGCATTCTCATCCCAGCATGCGCTTATTCATTGAAGGCATAGAGGCCGCCATCAGGCAGCGCAGTGTAAGTGCTACTGATGCGCATGAGAAATATTTAGGAGTGCAAGAGTGTTATGCAAGATTGTAAATTCTGACATTGGTGTAGAATGAGACACCCGCGCTTATTGCTCACAGTGTGGGCCTTCAGCAAAGCCCATTTAGGCAGTCTTTCTGATTGCACCAGGCCTCTTGATATAAGGGTGAATCACCCTTATGACCCTTACTATTGTTGGGCTGAGAAAAAGCCCTTAGGATCTTTGCAGAACTAAACTCTGAGTAGGAATGATGTAATAGCGGAAGCGTTTTAATGATAAGCCTGTGAACCACCTTGCGCTGGTATGTGAGGGCAAAGTCGATTGATTAAAGCAAAGAGATACAAGATTTTATAAGAGTACAAGGAATACGAAGAGATACAGTTAATAACCGTTTTACTATTGCTGTTGCGGTTCGATACAGTGACGACTCGGGCAACTGCTCAATGACGAGTCAGCTGTTTGTCCTTGCTGTCGCGCTGTACTTGTCAGGTCAAAGGTCGCTGACCTTTGACTTTCGCGTAACCTCCAGCAGTTGCTCAACCTCCGAGGGTTGACTCGCTGATGCTTCGCTGTGTTTCGCTTCGTTTATGACTTAGTGTTTCGACACGACAGAGCGCTTAAATCACTTGTTTCCAACACTCCCCTTCGCTTCTGGAGTGTCGCTGCTGGTGACGTGGCTCTGTCCAGTCAGCAGCATGCAGTACTCGAACTTCTGCTTTCCGAGTTTCTTGGTCAAGTAATCAGCTGCCATCTCAGACGTGGGGCAGTAAGACAGCTCGAGTCTCCCCTTCTCGACCTCGACCTTCAAGAAGAAATATCGCAGGGCGATGTGCTTCGTCCTGTTCGCGAATCCATTTTTGTTGGCTATGCGGATTGCTGACTGGTTGTCGCAGAACAGGGAGAAGCTGGGTAACTGAGCCAGTTTCGCTTCCTCCAGGAGTTCGCGAAGGTACAGTCCTTCCTTGGTGGCTGAGCAGAGTGCGATATATTCTTCTTCAGCTGAGGAGAGGGCGATTAACTCCTGCTTGCTCGACTGCCAGGAGATAGGTCCGACAGGTTCGAAGCGATAGATGTAGCCGGTGCGCGAGCGTCTGTTGTCGGAGTCGCCAGCGTGATCGGCGTCGACGTAGCCGATTAACTTAGGTGTCGAGGTTCTGTTCTTGTGATAGGTCAGGCCGATCGTCGGAGTACTAACGAGGTAGTGAAGAGCGCGGTCGAGCTCCGCCATGTGTTCTGCCTCGGGCCTTTTGAGGTAGGTGGCGAGTTGGCTTGCTGAGTACGATAGATCCGGACGGCAGGTGACGGCCGCGAAGAGGAGACACCCCAGCTTTCTCTGGTAATCGCGTATGCCTGCGGGCTTAAGCGGAGCGGAGCCTTCCTTGTGATTTCCTGCAGTGTAGCGGTATGGCGTGGAGATGGTGGTCGGGGTGAGTCCGAAGCGTTTGGCGATAGTGTCGGCATATTTCGCGGCGTTGAGATAGATCGCGCCTTCCTCTTCCTGGATGTTGAGGCCGAGGTATTGCGTGACGGTTGATGACACTGTGAGAGTGAGGTCCTGCTGCAGCTCCCCTTCAAACCAAGTAGTGACGCTGTCGGTCGAGCCGATGTAGAGCAGATCGTCCACGTAGACGATGAGCAGAATGTAGTCGTCACCTTTCGTGAGCCGGTACATGCCCTGGTCGTGTGGTAGCTGTCGGAATCCGATGCGGATGAGTCGAGCGTGTAGATACTGCTGCCACAGTCTTGGAGCCTGTTTGATGCCGTACAGGGACTTCAGTAGCTGACAGATTTGGTTGGGCTCTCCGTTGGAGCCGTGTGGAAGTTTGACGAAGATTTCGGCGTCAACAGGTGCGTAGAGAAATGCATTGGCGACGTCAATTTGCCGCAGCTTCTTCTTCTTCATGGGGGCGATAGCGAGAAGAATCCGAAGTGAAGTGTGTCGGCTGACCGGAGCGAACGTCTCGGTGAAATCACGTCCGTGCTCTTGGTCGAAACCGCGCACGACCCAGCGCGCCTTAAACTTGTCGATGGTGCCATCTGCCTTTGTCTTCACACGGAAGACCCATTTTCCAGTGAGTACTGTTTTGTTACGTGCCACGCCGATGGGAACGACTTTCCAGGTGTTCCGTTCTTCCAGTGCTTTCAGCTCCTTGTCCATGGCTTCGCGCCATTTTTCCCTATGCTCCCCCCCCAGAGCCTGTTGAACTGTGGCAGGCTCCTTAGGAATCTCTGTGCCGTGAACCACGGTGACGAGGCCAAGTATCTGGAGTCCGCTCTGTGTGTAGCGGTGAAGTGTTGTATCCTCGGGATAAGCTGCTTCGTCTCCCGCTTCTGGATCAGGTATGAAATTGGGCCCTATGCGTTCTGCTTCGTTCGTGTTGACTCTTGCAGGTGTAACGTAACCGTTGTCGGCGAAGTGGTAATATACTTCAGCGTTGACGCTTTCGCGAGGATTTTCGTCATCCATTGGGACGTCGACGGAGCAGTAAGGGAGGGGTCCGGCTTCCTCCGAGGCTTCATCCACGTTCTGCTTGTCCCAGTCAGCTTCGTCTGCTGCCGAGGCGAAGGCTCGGTCACCATGAAAACCACCTGTGGGGTCCCGGTCTTCTTCCAGGTTGGCAAGGTACGTCGGAAGTGTGAGTCGCTCGTAGAAAATGACATCACGTGCTGCTACTGTTTCCTTTGAGTGGACGTCGAAAATCTTCCACGCGTTGTAATTCTTTTCAATGCCCAGGTGTAGTCCCTATTGTGCGCGTTGGGAGAATCGGCCGGCGCGTGCAGTTGGGAGTCGGTACTGTACCATGCAGCCGAAATTTCGCAACAATTTTGTGCTGCCCTGTTTTCCTGTCCACATCAGGTGCGGTGATGCGTTGTTCGGGAGAGATGATGATGAGAGCAAGTTGTGCAGCATGACAGCGTGGTCCATTGCTTCGGGCCATTGGTGGTTGGGTAGCCGCATGCCATGTAGCAGCTTGCGCATGGTGTTCTGGAGAGTCCTGTTCATCCTTTCTGCTACGCCTTGCTGTTGGTGGGCGTAGGGAAGAGAAATGAGTCGCTTGATTCCTCTCTCTGCCAGGTACTGCTTGAACCTCTGTGAGGTGTATTCTCCTCCCCGTCAGACTGAAAACTCTTCAGCTTAACTCCCGATTCCCGTTCTGCTACTGGGAGCCAGGCTACGAAGGCTTCGAA